ATAGGTTTTTGTATGGGTTAGGTGGAATACTCTAGGTACCAGACTCACTCTGCGCTCCTCTTCTCGTTCTAGTGTGCCGATATTAACCGATCAGGAGCAAGTGTACAGATTTCTATACGTTTAAAGGTCACAGCGAAACAATAAACGTAGCTCTGATGTAAACCATTGAACATAACACAATATAAATAAATTCTGGCGACAGTAACGATCGAGTTTGAAGACACTGTTAAAACTGTACTCAATGAATATTTTCTGCATGTTGTGGAACTCAACACAGAACAGTTAACGGCATTGTTTGTAGAAAGAAGAAACACCTTCGCCATATTTATTCAAACTGGCTTTGGAATGTCTCTGATATTTCAGGCTGTTCCTCTCATAAAAAACTAGGCCTTGTAGTGAAATGTAGTAAATAAGTAAAACCGCAAGGCGCAGAGAACAAACAATAACAAACACACCTAAATCAGTTTTGGCTAATATTTTGCCTCGGCATACGGGGCTTCACTGGTCTTATTAGCTATAATTGCTGTGATGAACTTCCAATGTGCTGATGCTAACCGCCGCGGTGTCCAGGCGCTCTGCCTTCACAAAGAAAATTTGGACTTTGAAAGTACATACAATATTTGAGGAAAATTTTTTAAAAGCTTATTTTAAGTTTTATACGAAATTTATTGATAATTAACATTTTATAACTGCATTGTGCAATCTTTTATTTCATGCTGCGCACATGTTTTTGTTGCAAAATGGTGTATTACATTTGATTTGATTGGAAGCTTTAGGCAGAAAAGTCTATTATCACTGTATTGCTAATGTCGACTTTACAGGACTATATAAAATACATTTGCTTTAAGATTTCCACTGATCTACTGAGAATCTTTGTTATTTACCCGACAGTCTGGTTTCACTGGCCTAGTTTCCAGTCTGTTAAATTGACTATAGTTCTTTCAAATAAGTCCACTGGAATGAGGTCCGGGCGCACTGCACCAGACTCTCTTATATTAAATAAAGAGAGTCTGGCACCCAGGATAGGTGGAGCAACTTGTGTCGATGCACCAACCGCCCAAAGTTGCTTTTTGCGATGAGGGAATGAAGCCTCAACACCTGAGTTGATGAGGGATGTGGCAATGTCTTCTGAGGGAGCTATTTTATCTAAATTAATGAAGTTCTTTTGTTGATGTTTTTCCCCAAGTAAAAAATCAAACATATATCATGCCCTAGCAAAAATTAAGGGCGAGGATGAAGACAAGGACAAAAACGAGGACAAAGATGAGGACGAAGAGCAGGACAATGACAAGGACGAAGACGAGGATGAAGACGAGGACGAGAACGAAAACGAGGACGAGAACGAAGACGAGAACGAAGACGAGGACGATAACGAAGACGAAGAAGAGGACGTGGACGAGAACGAAAACGAGGAAGAAGACGATTACAAAGAAGACGAGGACTAAAGGAGGACGAAGACGAAGACGAAGAGGATAACGTGGACGAGGACGAAGATGAGGACGATGTCGAGGACGAAGAAGAAGATTAAGACGAGGATGGGAAGGAAAAGAAGGAAGAGATTGTCCTTGTAGATGAACATTTTGCACTGAATGCTTTGCTCCTGCAGCTTTGTGACTATTTTTGCATCTGTTAGGAAAACGATGCTTTGAAAAGATAAATAGTCCTTTAGCAATTATTTATAATTTTATTAATAAAATATTTATACAGAATGAGTCGTTTCAGTATATACATATAATTCAAGTTTAGTAAATGAAATGTAAAGTTGTTGAAAATGTTAAGATGTATAAAATTTCAGGAATAATTAAAATGTTAAAACTCAAAACTATTTTATCTTATCGTTTACCTAAGTACAGATGTCTCTTGTAAGTTACTGCGCCTACAACTTTAAAAGACGATTTTTCGAGCCGGTCATGAACCTGCATCTTTTAGACAGAGTTGTTGAGACAAACCACTTAAAACTTGCCTGATAGCATGCACGTATAATTTTAATAGTTCGTAGATCTATGCTCAGTCGGCGAAAACTGTTGATAATTAAACAAGTGAAAAATATCTCACTCGTTTTTGTTACTTGAGAAGATACTTCAAGAAATATCGGATTCTGTCTGCTTCGATTCAAAATTCCTTCTTACTAACCTAGTCTACCATTATTTATACCGTTACTCTAAAACATAAATTTGATGACAAGGAGGCTCTATGGATGGTGTAATGATGATGCAATGTGATGCAATGGAGATGGAAAGATCAAGGCTGAGAAGAGAGAGAGGTTAAGTATGCATGACGTACTGTAGCAATGTAATACCGAGGGGAATTAGGGGAATTAATTGACTACCCTCATTTCCTCCCTTCATTTTAAGTTCGTTAAAATGTTCATTTATGGAGGAATATTAGCATTGTACTGTGGAGGGGGGAGGGGGGGGGGTTGAAAAATCGTAACACCGTCATGGATATTTTGCAAGTATGTGGTTTTGAAGCAAGTCTTTGGTCGTTCTGTAGATCGTTCTCACTAAACAAGGAAAATTTAGATGTTGCAAGGAATAAACTAGTCCAAAAATGAAAACTAAAACAAGAAAAAGTAATATTAGTTGACCTAAAACTTGTCCTCTTAATCTGCTGATGACACATGTCTTTCAAATTTCAGATGCATGGGTGTCTATTTTTTACAGTCCTTTTAGCAAAGCATTTTAATTATACTATCTTGGCTAGAAAGTTTTGTTTTTTATGTTTTTTTATTAATGGAGCTTTCTGAACCAAATCCATTCGCAAAGCTATGAAATAGCTTTTCAAAGACCCCTTAGACTAGATATTGAAATAATTGTTAGAGACAGATTGATAGATTGAGCCAGAGTCCCATCATCCAACCTCTCCTCTCAAATCCGCGATAAATATCCAGCCCCGTCTCACTCTCCAATCTTCGAGAATGGAGCGCCGCCCATAGAATAAAGCTCCTCAATCTTCGCTACGAATTTTTTAAGACTCTTGCCTTAGACTATTTTTTAAAAGCCTGAAGTGAGAGGACCAATAGGGCTGGAGCCACGGGGCCGCGAGTGCAGCAGGAGAGGGGGGCAGCAAAGTCCTCTTTTCAAGAAATTGACTTTCAAGAAATATTATTTGATTTCAATCTTTAAATGCTAATATAATCTAGCTTTCGAGTGTCTCAAGATACCTATATACCTGTGAAATTGGTCAATGTTTTCCTTGATGATGAAAGCTGAAAATTTATTTGCAATGCAATTTGAACAAGAAATTATCATTGGTCATTTCTCTTTAACCTTCTTAATCATACTGGAAAGATTTCAGTTTGCCAACAACGTTGATTTGAATGTGTTTGATTTATCTGTCAAGAATTTAAAGATGTTTTTCCTATGAGCCAGTACTGAAAGCTTCTTAAAGTCATTAGATTTTGAGTGATTTGTGTTCCTTATGAGATCCTTACGGGAGCCCTGGTGCAATCTGAAAGTTCAAAAACAAGTTCTTTGAGGCCTTTTTGAAGCCGAGTTTTTGATCGTCATAAGTAACGATAATAGAATCATGACGCTTCCGGCGCCTCTGCCGCATCTGTATACGCTGCATGGAAAGCAGGGACAGCTTAAGGTGAATATCATGTAAAATATTTTAGACAGTAGAATTTTCCTTCATAATGTTGTTGCATGTTATTTCTTTGGGTTTTATGGGAGAACCTCAAACAGTGAGTACTAAGGCACTAAAGCTTGACTCCGATAGGCCAATGCCCCATTTGTTATACAATTGAATATTTGATAGTTCAATGAAGCATCACTTTCTGCTCCATTCCTATGAATAATCTATAAACGTACTTTTAGATTCTTATGACCTCGTAGAATCGACGATTTTTCTAACTGGAAGTCTTGACTAGACTAGACCGCAATATTTGCCATACATTTTTGGACAAAGCAGGACAAAACTGTTGTGAGAAGAGAAATCCCTAGACACCTTGCCGATAGCATGCATGAATACTCAGTCCCCATGGGACGCGGGAGATGAACAAGCTAACATTAGTGAAAACATGGCGCGCATCGCAATTATCGAAGAAGAAACACCCCAAAAAGACATTTAAAAATCTACCAACATCTGGTGATCGCAAAACTATAGGAGGTCTCCCTTGCTTACAAAGATGGCATTATAGATTAGCTTTATTATAAGTTAGATTAACTTTAAAGTGACGACGTCAAAACAATCTACTAATACTATCAAGAGCTATCTATTTCCATAGTTTTTGAATTTGGCATAAAAGAGCATCAGAAATACCTCAAAATTTCCGAAATAAGCGTGAACTATATTTTTATAACGTCACATTTCAGACTTATTCTTGGTTCTTCCCAAAACTGTTACCAGGCAAAAGCATTGCTTCTGTGTATATCTGTTTGAAGGCCGGGTCAAAAAATAATTGTTACGAATTTAGGACTACCGGCTATTTAGAGCAATGTGCAGAAATACCCCAATTTGTTTGTAAAGTGGTCGATATTAAGGCGTTACGTTGGCATAAACCACCTCGGTCTGAGCAATATCCTTTAATGTTGGTTATTGGTTGTAATTCTGAAATTCTGCCACACTTCAAAAGGCGAGAAAACTGTAGGCCAATATTCTGAACATCAGACAATTTATCAGAATTACATAAACTTACGTATGGTAGACGCACCTAAAGGAGGAATGATCGAGCATGATAGTCGACAAGTTATGATCCTGGCCTACTGGCAGACGCCAAGTTCAGAATTTGTAAGTGGTGTTACATCAATATTTTGCTTTCGTTGCTGCTTTTGTGGCTACGAAACGCTCGGAATGCATGTTTTGATTTGTAAATAAGTTCCAGTGGTTGAAAATATAGCATCAGTGTTTGGCTTCTCAGCGTTGGGCTTGCATTGTTGAAGGGATTCGGTTTTACAAAGTAGGCGTACATTGTTCGAGAAAACATTTTCCGCCCCTCTTCAAGAAGAATAATTGTCAATGAAATATAATTCGAGAAGAATACCTGAAAACGATCTCACCAATTTCCCATGTTCAAAATACCAACTGCAACAACGTACCATGCAAAGACATGGTGCGTTCTTGGTCGTCAACAGAACGTCAACAACAAAAGATGGTCCACCAGCGTGGCAGGAGCTAACTAATTGACGTTTATGCTTGAGGTCGATGCACAAACTTTACAGTCACGCTAATGGTGCTTTTAAATTTATGCTAATCTAGCTGGAAATCAAGCAACATCCAAACTGGCCTAGGGAATCGATCGTACATATCTACGTTTTACAGAAACGAGGCGAGACACCACGTGGGGATTCAAGCGGTCGGGTAACTGTACTGTTTGGCACAAGGGCGTGCACTAGGGAGTGCAAAGCTTTAGTAGAAGATTGATTAAGGTTTCTTCAATACTCAATATATCTGTCTGAAGAAAGACTTTTCATATGCATATTAACCTTAAATGAAACACCTTAACGCTCACCGAAAGAGCGTGTGCGTGCTGTATCATTTTTTTTCTCACGTAATTTTTAGCCCCGAATGATTGAATAAAATAATTTTGACAAAGCAAGGCTTGCATATTTCGAATTTTTTAAGTTCCAGCTGAGCTAACAAGATTCGCATAGTTGCGAATTTTGAATTTACATATAAACGAGAAAATGCATGAAAAGTTCAAAGAAAATTCAAACCAATTTTTACAAGTTACAGCACTGCAATGTTCCTATTGTTTTCTTCCAAAAATTTGGCTTGCAAAAGTGATGTGCAAGGATAACTTTTTTCCAAGTTATTTGAGTACTGCTGACTACCAAAAAATGATTTTGACTGAATGGAAGAAAATTTGCCGAAGGACACAAAAGTATTGGGGGTGTCGCACCCCTTGTACATCCCCGGGAACCTACCAAACACCGAGAAAAAGTAAGACTGCACTCAAACACTATCAGCAATTATTTTGGGGGTACACAAATATGTTCGGCTATCGAATCTTTTGAAATTAACATATTATAGCTTTTATATTAATTATCTAACATTTTAACTCATAATCATAAAATGTTTGAAACATTAAACTGTGCTACTCTCTGCTGAAAGTACCAGCATTTAATCTTTAAGGAGAGCTAATCATTTGAAGAGAAACAAACACATCAGTTTTGTGATACTGTGGTATTTTTTGAATTGGGTGCAATGTTTCAGTTATGTAAAATGCGACACAATTAAGGATGCTTGTGACAATGCACCTATGACTAACTAGAAACAGTAAAGTAGTTAATGCTGTACGATTTTTGGTCTTCTTCACTTCAGATCATCGGAATGACTGAAACTAAATCGTAGTTTCTGCTTCTTCAACGATATACAAAATCCTGATACCCAAAGAAGCGTTTCAAACCTTGGACTTTATTTGCTTTACAAATTCTTCACAAACCCAAGCAACAGTTTTTGATGCGACAAATCGCTAACAAAGTTTTCGCAATAAGTATATGTCTACGATTCTAGTTTATAAACAGAGAAAGAGTTTGTTGAGCCTAGGCCGTGGACACAGTCAGTTGCAACTCCGTCTTTGTTGTAAGTCATGTGTGCATCCGGGCCTGACCAGCATTCACCTTTATTCTTTAGTCCAAACAAGCTGTAGCCACGTTCCAAAACCAACTTGTAACAATCGCTTGCAACACGCGTACCGTCTGATTCGCTTGTAGTTCCAGATCTGAAAAAAATTATATGGATTTGATTGCTTTCTCTTTCTCATCCAGTAAGCAACGAAACAGAAAAAACAGATGAAATAATGTAAGTGAAAACTGTTAAAGAAAAATTTGTTCTTCACATCGCGCTTGAAAAGAAAAGATCAGCCCCTTTATTCCATCATTTGCGAAGGAACGGAAAATATCTCTCCAGCTCTCTACACAAAGTTAATGCAGAGGTTTGCATTCATTGAAAAGAAGAAAAAATCTAAGGAATCTCTATACTAAAACAAGCCAAGCAGATTCTAAGATCAATGTCCACTTACATTTTAAAGTTGCCAATCATGTGCTTTATAGGCTTTGATCCTCCATCAACATAACATCCAACAAAAACGATATTTTTGTTTGTTGGTCTTTCTGAAAAACATTGAGTTTTAAAATAGACTTAAAACAAACACCCTTGATGAAAATTATTTGTCGTGATTATATTGCACCATAATCCTAAGATTTCATGAAATTTACAGTGTCTTCTGTAGCTAGAAGTAAGTAAACTCGTGTAAATTAGTATGCAGAAAAAATATGATGACTAAATTCCTCATTCATGGCTTTTTTTCAAATACACCTTGTTGGAAACGACTAATAGAACAAATGGAGGTAGATATTGCAGTTTGCTGATATAAACTTCATTCACATTTATATTGCTGGATTGAAGCTTATATCGACAACTTTAGTGGACTTTTTGACACGCTCTTCCACTTCATCAATAGTCCATTAATAATACTAACATTTACAAACGAAAAATATTAAAACCGAAAACTTCCGAACGATAGAATTCTTGGACCCCACACTTTGATCGAGATTTCCTGATCCCAACTTTTGAACTTCCAGACGATCAAAGTTTTGGACAATTTCATCCAGCAATTTTTTCGTCGAACATATAAGTTTATCCAAAAATTTTTTGGTCCGTAAGCTTTAGATCTTAAAAATTGAAAAAATAAGCCCCAGGGGCAGATTGCCTCAAAGCCTCAACGTGTAGGGTGCTTTATAAATGGAATTAATTAAATGTAACATAATTATGCCTAGAAATAGTAAAGCTTTCTAACAACTGCAAGTAAATTAACGAATCTAGGCCAATCTTAAAGGTGTGATTGCAGACATTTCTGCTCGCTTTGCTTGCAGAGGGCAACATCCTTTGCTTTTGTCCCACGGCCCCCAAGTCCTCTCGGTGGCTTTGTGCGTGAGAAGTACAGGAGCTTATCCGCAGCTCTCATTGTTTTTTGCTGCTGTTCCAGGGTAGTATTTGATGAGACCAGATGTTTTCAACTCAGTCGTTAGGCAGGGCCCCATTACTCAATCGTCACTTGTTCCTCTCTTCAACAAGATAAGTCATTGGAAACTTACCGTAAATTCTCTTTTTAGCCCCCCTCTCAATTAAGCCCCCTTTCTCTTATTAGCCTTTATTTTCAGAAGGAAACATTTAATTAGCCCCCCTCTCAATTTGGCCCCCCAAATTTTCATTGATGCTGAAATAAGTAAACTTGGCAAAAAACAGAGATTTTCATTTCATTCTTCGCATCAAATTGAAATTCACACCATGTCTCTAGAATTAATAATTATTGACGACAACGATGACAATATTATTGATATAAGAAAACTGCTTTGATGTTTTTTATTTCGCAAATAACATAAAATTTTACCACTATCAATGGTTTTTTATTACAAAATATTTAATAAGCTCCCTCTCTCAATTTAGCCCCTCCCCTCTCTTATAAACCCCCCCTTTAAAGTGCTGAAAAACAATAACCCCCCTGGATATTACACACAAAATGAGTTAATGTACCTGCAGGACCAAAATGGTAGGCATAGACTGAACTGTCACCTCCTGTCTTTTCATAACAACTAGAAGCGTCCCCTCTACTGTAATAAGTAGTTTGAGCTGTCGTATCTTGAGCCCAGCATTCACCATAGAATTTGATAGCAAAGAACGTAAATTCCTGTCCATAATACTGGATGGTCTCTGGCTTCTTAATGTGATCAGCGCAGGCGATTACTGATTTGGTCATATTGTTCCTAAGGCAGACAAAGTTTTGTAATATTCATAAAGAATTCTACAAGATTTTAGTTTTGAATTCTAAAGATTGGATGTAAAACATCACAGTATTTTTATATAAATCATAAGCCACTCAATTATCGTCTCAATCTTAACTGACACATATCATTTTGTAATTTATCGAGGAATGCTCCTCTACCCATATTTTACTTTTATTTAATGCTTCCTTTTCCTAATATCTCAGCTTTTAGTTTGCCTCTTGACTGTTATCAAGTTTATCCTTGTTTGTTATACCTGCATTTTTCTAAGCTATAGTTGTTTTATGCAATGGCTATGCTAGCTATGTCATTTGTTTCCCATGTAATATAGTAGAATCTATCTGCAACTGTAAGAAATTTTTTAGTGTCAAGCAATAATACAGCGTGATGTATCTACCAAACAACCGCAACAATTTAAAGACACAATGTCTCGTCGTCATTCAAACGATTCAGAGGTTCTACGGCACGTTTACGCCCGAGAAAACGTTGAGAATTAGTTTTACGTTGCTAATTGAATATGTAACACTATTTGCATAGTCCCCAAAATGTGAAATTTGAATATGTATCCAAATCCGGTGGGACATAATGACTTTAAGTAGATTTTGAAGCCATTTGGTAGCTTTATTAGTAAAGCTTGCAACTTTTAAAATTTTATGTAAACTTTTTATGAATTTTGCAGAACTTAGTGTTAAGTATACCAGTCGATCAAAGGCCGTAGATTCGCCACAAGGTGAGGATAAACAGTTGTTCCACCATTCGAGTTATAGCAGCCAAGACCAAAATACTTCTGACGCCAAGGTGCTAAAAATAAATTTCAGATGTATTTATTGTGCCTCAAGTCAAGTTCGAAAGAGAACTTTTCTAATTATTGAAAGGATGTTGATATTATTTAAGAGACATGTTGATATGCATTGCATTGAGAACCATGAACTGTTACTGTGCAAGCAAGATTTAGCACTTCGTGGATGTTCTATGTAAAATGCAGTCCAAGAATATAGTTGCTTAAACTTTTGTCCTTTTTGTAAGTTAATCTTTGTCTCTACTAAAATAAAGTATTGTCACTTGTCTTTAATACAGCGTAATACATAAAAATGTGCCAAGTGTGGTAGCTGAAATGGCTGCTGTTGTCGTTGTTGCCTCTAAAAATTGAATTTTAACTTTAAGGATATATTTAGAGAAGATCCTTAATTCATTTCAAAAACGATCTAGAATTCTTCGAAATATATTTTAAAGTTTAGACGTATGAGAAATATATGATAATCAGGTTTAACAGCAAGCTTGCAATATTTATGCCATTAACTCGAATGTTTGAAGTGGGCGTTACTAACAAAGTTTAACTTTTCCATAATTGAAATTCAGGATTTCTCTAAAAGAAGGAATAAAGACAAGATCTCTCCATTTCCATTGCGCTATTATATCAACTCAAGGCTAAACGTGTATCTTTTTTATTAAAATATTGAAAAATGACTTTTCCCTAATGTCAAAGCATTTAATGACCTGCTCCAAAGCATAACGACCAATGATACTTCTGGGTATACGTAGTCAATGACTACCTCATGTAACGCAAGCTCGAATAAATAAATACGCGTACACTTCATGTACTCTCAACATAGCACGCATGCCTAGTGGCGTCGCCTGACCTTCCAGACTAGAGGGTTGGAGCGCCATCAATAGAAAAATTGACCGATGAAGATACAGATGGTGAAGAATTTAGGTGCTATTTCACCTGATTATAGATGATTTTACCGTCAAACTAAGGATTTCGTTGACAAATATTTACCGACGAACTCATGAAGTACTGGAGGGTGTTTCCCTCCTCCCCCCTACAACCACCGCTAGCTACGCACTACGCTCACGACCTATCCCAACATAATTTGGGAGCTATCTAACTAACTACGATCAAAATAGGGCAATTCGTAAAGTACTTTAAAGGGAAGTTTACACGTTGCGCTTTTACGCGTCTGACTCATGAATCATAGTTGCATGAGTTATTGACTCACGAGTCAGTTTCACAGCAAGCGATTGTATAGGCTTGAGCCTTTAATAATTTAAACATCACGTTGTGTTACAGTTGTCATTCTTTGAAAATCATAAGACTAGTTTGTAGTGTTACTACATATTCTTGTTTGTTCTCACAAAGTTCATCCAAGAAGGTTCAGTGACAGAAACCTACAACTGCTCCAAATCGCGTACTTATATTTCATATATTTACCTACCTTGTTGGGTCTAGATTCTCATTGTTTGGAAATAATATCCTTTTCATTTTCCGAACCAATGAGAAAACTGCATCATATGCAGATGTGCTTTAGGGTGAGGGCTTGCAGAAAAATGTACTTCTCAGTGCGCTTCGCAGCAATTAATCAAACCTACTTTATATCATAGTTGCACCATATCAAACAGAGTTTTATTCTCAATCTTCCCATAACACTCGCTCTCCAAATTTTCTTCGTTCGCCTTTTGATTGTTTGTAGTTTGTACAGCATTTGCATTTGCAGAGCACAGTATGGGAGAAAACCTACTCCTTCTTCTTCTCATTCAGCCTGATCTTACGGATATAGATAACAGTCATGCAATCCCCACAAAACATATTATCAATCAACGCAACTTATTCACAGTAGAGAGCTCAGTTCAAGTTGATCACTGGAGCGTCTTAACACAAATGTTCCTTCCACAGAATAAGTTATGCGAAGCTCTTCTGCGATCAGTTTGCTAAAATCACGTCATCGACTATTATAGGCGAGTACGCATGATGAAAAGTTTGAAAGCTAAAGGACCTTCGGAAAAGTGCTGGCTCGTCTCCCTAAAAATTTCTTTGAGTTTTTTCCACGTTCCCTAAGTAATTCTATATTTCAGTCAATTTGACAGTTCAGGAGGAGCTATAGAACAATATAAAGGTGATTTGATAAAAAGGTTTTCAAACCTGTTGTCATTGTACTTATTCTAGTCGTTGTTGCTGTCGTACTTAAAGCAGCTGTAGTTGTTGCCAAGGTGACCGTTTGCATTGTTGTTGGTGCTTTAGTCGTTGTTTTTTCCTTCGTTGTTGTGGATGCTGCTGTTGTTGCTGTTTTTGTCGTCGTTTCTGTTGTTGTAGGTGTTGTATTTACTTCTTGCGTGGTAGTTCTCTGCTGCGTTGTTGTTGCTGGTATTGTTGATTCTGTTTGTGTTGTTGTTGGTGCTTGAGTCGTTGTTTTTTCCTTCGTTGTTGTGGTTGCTGTTGTTGTTTTTGTTGTTGTTGTCGTTTCTGTTGTTCTAGGTGTTGTATTCTTTTCTTGCGTAGTAGTTCTCTGCTGCGTTGTTGTTGCTGGTATTTTCGCTTTTGTGGTTACAGCATTTTGCGTGACTGTTGCCTTTTCTGTTGTTGTTGACTGTTGTCTTATTATTGTTGTCGACTGAGCTTCGGTTGTTGATAATGATGAATAACTACTAGTTGGTACTCCCGTTGTTTTTACGGGCTCTTTACTTGATGTTAATGAATCTTTGCTCGTGATAGTCTGACTTGTCGTCATTTCCTTAATCGGCGAAACAGCTGTTGATGTCAAAAAAGTTGAAGATTTCTTTGTTGTCGTAATTCCTACATTTTGAATTGTTGTTGTTTCTGCCTTTTGTCCTGATGCTTTCACTAAATGAAACATTCATGAAAATTCTACCGATAGCTTCATTTGGAGAGTAGCCAGTTTTTCAGTAGCTAAGCAAGAATATAAAATATGTTTTCTAAAATCGATATAAATATTTTCGTGTTAGTGTTCTTTTAGGCTTTTTGATATGTATCTTGCAAAATTTGAAAGTGGCTTCGAAAAAAGCAAACATTTTATAACATATTGGCTAAAAGCTTTTTGGTCTGACACTCGATGAAAAATATATTCCCAGTTGTGGATCGAAAAAGGCCAATCAGAAATTCGCAAGCTCAAGAGCGGTATGGTTCTCCAATCAGTGTCGTGTGCCTAAAGAAAAATAACCAATGGAGCCTAAGAGAGAAAACGAACTCCTTCTGTCTACACAATGGCGGCTTTTTTTGTCTCTATGTTTTGTACACTTTCAAGTTCTGTACCGCCAAAAAACTATTCAAAATTTGAAAGCCAATGATTTATTTTAATGTCATCATCTGCAGATTTTGAATTTTTCTTCAAAACTGAAATCGAAGTCAAAGCAGTTTAACACCAGCTCGAAATTGTTGTAAGGACGTAGGGACCACTATACCGTAGCTTGTCCATTCCCTTAGAGAGTTAGCATTAAATTGAGACCCAAAGCAAGACACGAACCAAGAACTTCTCGTTCAAAGGCTAGTGCAGGGTCATATCTGACGGAACTATAGCTATTTGTTGCACTCTCCCCTTCGTTTTGTCACAATTTGGCAGGTTAATTAACTTTCCAGCCGGATTGTTGGTAAACAGTGCTGGCGGTAGATAAAATAGGAACTTAATTGCCTTCACGTTCTCTTCTTAGGTAAAATGTCTTGAATATTGTATGTTTTCTCTTACATTACAAATAAAGTTAACGACTACAGTTCAGGATATAATTTTTTATGTATAAGTAAAATATTTTCTTCTATCAATTAAATCAAGAAACATACCGCTGTGGAATGGATTTTGCTGTTCGTGTAATACGTCTGATTCTAAGCTGCCCTTTGAAATTTTCCATTCGCTAAGAATCATTACAATGATTGCAAAGCTGAAAAACAGCAAAACTGATCCGATAAAAAAAACTTTGTACTTGATGTGCTTCATCTTTGAAACATGAAACTCAGTGGAATCTTGCCCTAGTTCCGGAGAAGCTTGCTATTTTTTCCGTGAAGCTAGCTGATAGCCCTCCGAATATCTGGAGTAATTTTACATTCAGAACACAGCATATTACGCTCATTCACAAAAGTTTTACTTGAAAACTTCCACTTGCATAACAAGTGCACAGTAACAAGTCAAAATGCACGGTAACAATTCTTTGAAAACAGGCTTTATTACAGATGTCACACAGTTATATTGCTTTAATACCATTTGCTAATGGCATCTAGGTCAAAATTCATATTGCTTCTTTCGACAAAAAACTTATGTTACAATTTGCTTATTATGTTGATAGCTGTTCAATGCAATAAATGCTCTTAAAGAAAGCATTATATCTCTTCAGGCGCGGAACCAGCCTGAATTATGAACTATGCAATGCAAAGGTTGTCAGAAAGAGAAGCCACACCCTTTTATGTTAGAAACGCCCAAACTTTTCTCAATAAAATTAGTATATCTGATATTGAATAGGGGGTTCAAGAAAGGAATTCTAAGGAAACGACTCGCAAAGAGAAGACTAAATTTATCTGGAATTCGAAGGAAAAAGGAAATTATTGAAAAAGCATACTCGGACCAGGGCCCTCCACTATTCAAACACAGTGGTCATAACATAAGACCACAGAACAGACGTTCCAAAGTAGATTGACTTAGCTAGAAACTCCTTAGCAGGGGGTGAAGCAGCGATTGTCAATTACCATTTTATTGCCTGTAACAAACAATTGCATAGGTCCACTGTAAACAATTGCATAGGTCAACTCTGATTCCTATTGGTTGGCTGAACCGCTGCAGAGGCAAGCTCAACTTCTGATTGGATAAATCAAACCTCACCTATGCTCCGCCAAAGATTGCAGAGGTTAAGTACACTCTGATTGGCTTACAAGACGTTTGCAGAGGTCAAGCAAGCGGTGATTGGCTCTCGAGAGACAAACAAGTTTCTGGATTCAGAAAATACCGACCAGATAAAAGCCTAGAATCGCCACTCGATTATTCTGTGCAGAGGCCTAAAGGTAGTCAGCAAAATATATGCCCTGCTGTCTTCTGCATGTTGTTGGTATCAACGGGGGCAGATCTAGGGCGGACGTTGCTGAAGAGTTTGCCAAAGAAACTTTTAATTAAAAATTTTGATAGTTTCTATTTTATTTTGTTGTTGTAAAAATCTGACTTATGCTTTTGCAGAGGTTGCTGTAGTCTGGATCCGCCTCTGCTCTTAGCTAATAGTAGTGACTACTTTCGGTTGTTATTTCTGCAATCAAAGCTTTTTTCAACATATACAAACAAGATCTGTAAACTAATGAATGATATCATAGTAATTATCATGATGAATTATAGGAAAAGGCTCTTGCTAACTTGGCAATTTTTCCAAAATGAAAGTCTTCAATCCTGCGTACTGGCTCTCTTGCTTATGACCTAGGTCAAGCTGCTGTGCATTTAATTTCAAACACAATAAAACTGTCAACACAGACTTTTTGCTATGAATCAATTCACTCTGACCTAATAAAATTTCTCAACCCACACTGCAAGATGATTCTTGTATAGTTTTGCAAGAAATGAACGAGAGCAGTTGGAGTGTTGTCACTAGTTACACATTGAAAGCTAGGGCTTAAATCTATTACTATTGAATGAACTTTCGCCTGCAAGGCAAACAATATTTCCTAAAGTGATTAGGTGCGCACATACACATATTGACGAACAGGACAGATGCACCTAACCAAGTACAGTTTCCACCTTTTGAATTTTCCAGTTCCAGTTACATGCAGTCAAAGTCTCCTCTTATGCCAAAGTATCCCCAAGATATGAATGAATATATGCACGGATATAGCTTTTTTTAAATAACGATTTATAACGATTTGCATAAGACCACGATTTGCATAAGACCAACTAGGGATAATCTTTGCAAAAAGACCACGGTTTAGTTCAAATGCATCAAACCTCTTCAGTCTTTCTAAAAAAATCAAAGGAATACAAGTCACCTTCCAACAGGCTGTCACAATAAAAGACTAAAGCAATGAGGGGAGCAGTACAGTAAACCCTCGATAACCCCTACTACTACTTCTATAATATCTCATGCAATTATTACTGCACGACACGCTTTACAACTTTACGCCAGTCTTTTCTATTTTCTGTCAGTTCTACTAATCTATTGTTGAGATCTTGACGCACGGATTGCATCCATGTCGTCTTTGGTCTTCCCTGCGGCCTTTTAACTTTTAACTGATATTTTCTTCAAGGGCTTTTCTTGCTGGTGTCTCGGGTTGCACTATTATCAGATGACTCAGCTACGTTAGTCTCCGTGCTCTTATTGATAACTCAAACATTCGCTAAATCGAGCTGATATTGCATTCCTCTTGCAAAATACTTTCATATACAGCGTTATCTTGATAGTTTTGAACCCTCTAAAAAGAGGTTCAAATTTTTCCTACAGGGAAAGTAGTTCCAATAATGCAAGAGAAAAGTATTTTTTAAGAAGGCACATTCTCAGTTTTTAAAAAGGTTTGACTTAAATAGAAAATATTGTCTTGAAAGCTTCTAACAGTCGATCCTCTCTAATCTAGTTTTATTTGAGAAAGCATCTAGAATAATATATACGAGTAAAGTCATTAATGGAATCAGACAGCATTGCAGGTACTCTCGTCAAAGGCTCCCTTACTTTTCTCTTCATTGCTTATGCACGGATGAGAATAGCATTATATATCTAAGTATACATACAGGTCTCTGCCTTGCCTTCTGACTAGATATTAATCGATGAAGTGGCTCTGACGAAGGCTATTAGCAGAAACAGAAGAAAAGAGTGCCTTGGCTATAGTGAAATCTTCCTCGCTCATTCTATTGAGTCATTTGATTGGCTCAGCGGAATGAGCGTTAGTTTGTCGACGCAGTTCGTGTGCGGCCATGAGCAGAAAAATACAACTGGACAGTAGTTTCGTGGAAAAAAATTACCTCCTGTCAGCCATTGCCTTGCGATTCGATTAAATGTACAATAATCAAGGTTTTCGCTTTTAAGCAAATTATATTGATAAGTTGATAGTTATGCTGTATTAACATTAGATCACTTTTGTACAGATTCAAGACAATAGATCGTCATGAATAACCCTCTTATCAAGTTGCACACTATGACTAGCCCTATCTTCAAAAATTGTTCAAGGAGCTAAATCTTCAATAAAACAATTTTGACTTATCTGGAAAATTGCTGAGTAAAGGAGGAGGTCAACTAAGAATGTGACATAAAGGTTTGTTTAAGTAAAGGGTAGGTCAACTAGGAATGCGAAAAGAATAAAGGGTAGCTACTTGGCCTGTTACAATAGGAAACAATACTAATTCTCCAGACATATGTAATGGCACAATGGGCAATAAAGTATGAAACAATTCTACCCATTGAATGCCCACACCCGAAGACAGATAAATTTAGACGCTGCTTTTCAGTCATGTAATGACAGATTGGAACGCAGATCTATCAAGGACATTGCTATAACACACTGACAGACGGTTACTTCATACAAGATGTCTTGTATAGGAAAAAGTGTACTTGTGAAACTTAAGCACATGATCCTATGTGCAGGGCTGATGTCTTTGTATTTCAGTTTGATATTTGTAGTCATGATTGTCAACGAGTGGAAAATCACGAAAAGGACCAGCGACGTCGATATCGAAGATCCAAGCTTACGAAGTATGCAGGTTTACTAATACTTACTTCTCTTAAATATTCTCTAATGTTTATCAAAAGCAAGTCTTTACAAGTTTAATTTCTTAACCTCCTCTCTTGTGTCTTACAAATCAACGTTGTTATATATTATCTATAATCTGGGTACCAGAGCCACATTGAATCGAAGGCGGAAAAAAGAGAGGAGTGGAGAAGCGGAAGAGTATATAGTTGAGAAGAACAAAAGATGGCAAGTTTCTCATTTGTTTTGTATAGGAGTGAAGACGTTATTGGTTTTCTTCTATGAATAGTTCATTGACTCTCTTTATCAATCGTAAAGACCCAAAAGGAAAGTATTATCTCTCCATCAACAAGGATTGCTCTTGGGATAATTCCATCTTATATGCAGAGAAGCAAAAGAGTCCTGATCGTTAAAATGAAATTAGAAGGGAATATGTTTTGATTTGATGCGATTTTCGCCTTGTGTGATTTCATCTTCCATAAAGAGCCTTGTAGGTTGTTGGCATGGCAACTGACAATATCTTATCTAAGATCTAGGGTGGAAAATGTCAGGATGATAGAGGAACTTTCATTGCAGTGTTCATGACTTGGTTCTAGCTTATTAAAAATGACTTAGACAGTGATGTAGTGCCATCAGAATAACAAAGGGGCTTTTGCGCAAAATGCTGCTCAAACAATAGCAAAAGTAGAAATTGGTTAATTTCGACACTACACCCCTGGACTTAGGTCGGTGTGAGTTTTTACATTGAAGTATATCTCAGTGTAGCTTAAAGGCAGATCGAGCATAGGGATGAAATTGACATCTTGCAGAGGAACCTGTTAATATCGGACACTTTGATTCAATGATACTGAACAATTTGATTGAGTTGTATCGGATACTTTGATTTAATGATTCAGTTCAGGACGATTTGATTCGATGATACTGAACAATTTGATTGAGGTGTACAGGATACTTTGATTAAGTGATTCAGTTCAGGACGATTCGATTTGATGATACTGGACAATTTGATTGAGGTGTACATGATACTTTGATTAAATGATTCAGTTCAGGACGATTCGATTCGATGATGCTGAACAATTTGATTGAGGTGTACAGGATACTTTGATTAAATGATTCAGTTCAGTTTAAAAATAAAATTTGGTATTCAAGTTGGTTGTGACAAAGAAAAGGTAATACAATCAACTGCAATCATTTTAAACTATGGGTTAGAATGTTTAATGAAGCTCTGAAATTCTGAAGTAATACTATGTTTTTAGATTGGGATCTCTGCGCACATAACCAGCGTATCGGTGCTGTAATAAGTACGAAAGGTAGTACTTTGATATTTTAAAATTTGTGAAAACGTAAAGTTGTGTGTTCTTTGGATTTATTACAAAATAAAATAAATATTTCACATGTTTATTTTCTGAAGGTCTGTATACGATACAAAATGGCCATCTATTCAGTTTTCACAACTAAAATTACAATGAAAATGTTTTACATGAACTTGTTGCTATTTGCTAATAAAGTTCTGATAAAGCTTTTCGTTTCAATTATGTGATGATAATCATAATAAAGGACTTTTCTCACTCATGACGACTACATTAAGTACCTAGGATCCGCAGGTAGTTTTTAGGACTCTGAGAAGCTTATGCTTATCGAACAGTGCCCTGGCTCTTCCTCTGGATGTGACCACATCTCGTGATTTCTATGCCTGGATTTACGGAGAGATGGCGACTCTCCTCGATCTGGGTGAAAAAATTGCGATGAAATGATTGTACAATAACTTTTGATTTTTCCTTTTCATACAGTTACAACCCCCGTCACTGAACCTTTTAATACAGTCACAACCCCCGATACACCTGAGTCGCATTTATCTACAACAAGTAAGCATTTTTTGTATGACTTGTTTAGATATTCTCAAGGAAATTACAATATTTGATGTATTAAAGACCCGCTCTCTAATAAACAGCCCGTTCTAACAAACACCAAACATGAATGCCAGTAAACGTACATGGCTTTCATAAGCTCTAACGACCACATCTCGTGATTTCTATGCCTGGATTTACGGAGAGCTGGCGAATCTCCTCGATCTGGGTGAAAGTTTGGTCATGCCATGGACTCGAACCACGGACCCTTGGGTCTGTAGTCAGCGGCTCTAACGACTGAGCCGTCCTCGCACCTGAGAATGAGTTTTCATCATTACTTATCAATAGGTACTGTCAACTCAATTCAAGTCAAGCTTTATGACAAGAAGGTTCATGGAAGGGTATTCAATATTACTGGTAGTAGTGTGTAATACTTAATATCTACAGAATAATTTTAATATTGATAGAATACACACACTACAAGCATCATAGAACATAAACAAAAAAATATAAAACACGACTGTTTTTACTCGAAAATAAAAAACATTTTGATTTTAGGCTAAAAATTGTTTCTTATAAAATAAGCCCCTTTTGAAGAAAATAAGGCCTGTTACTTATAAAAGGGGGTTTCTTATATATGAGTGTTAACAGTATGACGATTTCTGCATGTAACACTTTTGAAAAAATTGCGATGAAATGATTGTACAATAACTTCTGATTTTTCTTTTTCATACAGTCACAACCCCCGTCACTGAACCTTTTAATACAGTCACAACCCCCGATACACCTGAGTCGCATTTATCTACAACAAGTAAGCATTTTTTGTATGACTTGTTTAGATATTCTCAAGGAAATTACAATATTTGATGTATTAAAGACCCACTCTCTAATAAACAGCCCGTTCTAACAAACACCAAACATGAATACCAGTAAACGTCCATGGCTTTCATAAGCTCTAACGACCACATCTCGTGATTTCTATGCCTGGATTTACAGAGAGCTGGCGACTCTCCTCGATCAGGGTTAAAGTTTGGTCATGCCATGGACTCGAACCACGGACCCTTGGGTCTGTAGTCAGCGGCTCTAACAACTGAGCCATCCTCGCACCTGAGAATGAGTTTTCACCATTACTTGTCAATAGGTACTGTCAACTCAATTCAAGTCAAGCTTTATGACAAGACGGTTCATGGAAGGGTATTCAATATTACTGGTAGTAGTGTGTAATACTTAATATCTACAATATGTTATACTTAATATATACAGTACAAGCATCATAGAACATAAACAAAAAAATATAAAACACGACTGTTTTTACTCGAAAATAAGAAACATTTTGATTTTAGGCTAAAAATTGTTTCTTATAAAATAAGCCCCTTTTGAAGAAAATAAGGCCTGTTACTTATAAATGGGGGTTTCTTATATATGAGTGTTAACAGTATGACGATTTCTGCATGTAGCACTTTTGAAAACATTGCGATGAAATGATTGTACAATAACTTTTGATTTTTCTTTTTCATACAGTCACAACCCCCGTCACTGAACCTTTTCACACAGTCACAACCCCCGATACACCTGAGTCGCATTTATCTACAACAAGTAAGCATTTTTTGGATGACTTGTTTAGATATTCTGAAGGAAATTACAATATTTGATGTATTAAAGACCCGCTCTCTAATAAACAGCCCGTTCTAACAAACACCAAACATGAATACCAGTAAACGTCCATGGCTTTCATAAGCTCTAACGACCACATCTCGTGATTTCTATGCCTGGATTTACAGAGAGCTGGCGACTCTCCTCGATCTGGGTGAAAAAATTGCGATGAAATGATTGTACAATAACTTTTGATTTTTCCTTTTCATACAGTCACAGCCCCCGTCACTGAACCTTTTCACACAGTCACAACCCCCGATACACCTGAGTCGCATTTATCTACAACAAGTAAGCATTTTTTGGATGACTTGTTTAGATATTCTGAAGGAAATTACAATATTTGATGTATTAAAGACCCGCTCTCTAATAAACAGCCCGTTCTAACAAACACCAAACATGAATACCAGTAAACGTCCATGGCTTTCATAAGCTCTAACGACCACATCTCGTGATTTCTATGCCTGGATTTACAGAGAGCTGGCGACTCTTCTCGATCTGGGTGAAAGTTTGGTCATGCCATGGACTCGAACCACGGACCCTTGGGTCTGTAGTCAGCGGCTCTAACGATTGAGCCATCCTCGCACCTGAGAATGAGTTTTCATCATTACTTATCAATAGGTACTGTCAACTCAATTCAAGTCAAGTTTTATGACAAGACGGTTCATGGAAGGGTATTCAATATTACTGGTAGTAGTGTATAATACTTAATATCTACAGTATAATTTTAATATTGATAGAATACACACACTACAAGCATCATAGAACATGAACAAAAAAAATATAAAACACGACTGTTTTTACTCGAAAAAAAGAAACATTTTGATTTTAGGCTAAAAATTGTTTATTATAAAATAAGCCTCTTTTGAAGAAAATAAGGCCTGTTACTTATAAATGGGGGTTTCTTATATATGAGTGTTAACAGTATGACGATTTCTGCATGTAGCACTTTTGAAAACATTGCGATGAAATGAGTGTACAATAACTTCTGATTTTTCCTTTTCATACAGTCACAACCCCCGTCACTGAACCTTTTCATACAGTCACAACCCCCGATACACCTGAGTCGCATTTATCTACAACAAGTAAGCATTTTTTGAATGACTTCTTTAGATATTCTGAAGGAATTTACAATATTTGATGTATTAAAGACCCGCTCTCTAATAAACAGCCCGTTCTAACAAACACCAAACATGAATACCAGTAAACGTCCATGGCTTTCATAAGCTCTAACGACCACATCTCGTGATTTCTATGCCTGGATTTACAGAGAGCTGGCGACTCTTCTCGATCTGGGTGAAAGTTTGGTCATGCCATGGACTCGAACCACGGACCCTTGGGTCTGTAGTCAGCGGCTCTAACGACTGAGCCATCCTCGCACCTGAGAATGAGTTTTCATCATTACTTATCAATAGGTACTGTCAACTCAATTCAAGTCAAGCTTCATGACAAGACGGTTCATGGAAGTGTATTCAATATTACTGGTAGTAGTGTGTAATACTTAATATCTACAGTATAACTTTTGATTTTTCCTTTTCATACAGTTACAACCCCCGTCACTGAATCTTTTAATACAGTCACAACCCCCGATACACCTGAGTCGCATTTATCTACAACAAGTAAGCATTTTTTGAATGACTTCTTTAGATATTCTGAAGGAATTTACAATATTTGATGTATTAAAGACCCGCTCTCTAATAAACAGCCCGTTCTAACAAACACCAAACATGAATACCAGTAAACGTCCATGGACTTCTTTAGATATTCTGAAAGAAAATACAATATTTGATGTATTAAAGACCCAATCTCTATTAAACAGCCCGTTCTTACAAACACCAAACACGAATACCAGTAAACGTCCATGGCTTTCATAAGAAATACTGCAAAAAAGAGCAATTTCCTGTTTTCTGTTCTTTTTATAAGCATTGTCAATAAAGACTTTATCATAAGATAGTTTCAATATTACGCGTTGCCCTTGTCGACTTATGGTTCAGATGATAGAGAAATATCTTTTTTCAAAGAGAAAAATATACTGTCCTTATTTAATTTTGTGATTACAATAAGAGTGAGGATTAATTTGAAAAAATTGAAGCAAAACAGATTCCGACGTAAAAGAGAATCCATCAACTGAAATTCATTACATGAAAAGAGAATGATTTTTAGCAAATGATTAGATTTTGTACTTTTCTGAATTAGCATGGACTGATATGAAAAAAGAAATGATTTTATCGGGCAAAAAGATATTTTTTCAAAAAATGCCACTCTCTTATTAACGCCCCCTCTCCTATAGTAGCCCCTCCTAAAAGCTAAAATCTTAATAAAAGCTCGGCTATTTAATAAATCAAGTGAGGTGTGTTTGATTTTGAAGTCACACCAAGAGGTCTGGTGACTACATTGCATACATGAGGGTAGATTTTTCGTAGGTGGTTCATTATACTTTTCGGTTAGCAGTACAAACTGATTCTCAACGTAAAATAGTAAATTACATGACAGTTTAGCTGCATAAAAATTCTGACTAGTGATGAAGAAAATTTAATCCTGTCTCCTGTTTTGTTTTGAAATCACCCATAGTTAGCAAACCAATTGTACCAGGAAAAAAAAATTTTAAAACAATTAAAAATTAAAAAAAGTTGTTCCTGGTACAATTTACTTACATTGATCGTTATTTAAATTCATCATATTGTACTGCACGCATTTAAGTACAATTATTTTCCACGTTACTGTTCTTTCTAAGTAGGTTGTTCTCTTGCAGAGATCAAGACTGGAGGCTTGACAAAAGCCAAAACAACGACAACAACAGCTGCAGTCACTTTCACAAACAGTAAATGTTTTTACGGCCAATTTAGATATTCCCATTCCACTCAGTCCAAAAGCACTGACTCCTTTCTCAGCAAGGGAAATTTTTTTGCATATACTCAAAACATATAACTATCATTGAAGTGGAATAATGTGGACAGATTTGTTGTTGCTTGTGATTTCCTTTAAAAATATTCAGCTTAATTTATCAATATTGATACACGAATACCTTTTAGCTTAAAAAGAGAAAAACAAATTGACTAATTAATAACTTATTTTAATATTTTTTAGCATTCACCTTTGTAACCATGCCATTTTTAACTTTTTTCCCTTATTTCGATCACACCAAGGTTCCAGCCACACTCGCTTGAAGGCCTCCCAATTTTAATGTTTTTCCCAACTGTAAATCAATCAGATTTTGCTCTGGAGCTACCCCTGGCAACAATATAAATGAGCTTATAATCACTGACAATTACCATTCTGAAATCTTTCATATTTAGAATGAACCATCCATGATTTACATTTTATCTTTGATAATTTTAAGGCACAAGCCTGTTTGGTGGCAATGCAACGACTCCTAATGCCACTCCTTTTGCTCGATTATCAAACAGAACAGCAAACTTTACAGCATCTGTAACCACAACAGCAGCAACAAACAATACAATAGGTACGTCAAGTAAAGGACTGCCTCTTATTATAAATGAAGGTCCTTACTTATTTTTGAATTCCTTTTGAAGGGTTTTCTTTGGATTCCATACCCTGGGTACCAGACTCACCTTGTATGGAATAAGAGAGTCTGGATCAGTGCGCCTGGACCTCGTTCCAGTGAACTTATTGGAGAGAACTTTAGTCAATTTGACAGATTGAAAACTAGGCGAATGAAACCAGAATGTCGGATAAATAACGATACTCAATAGTGAGTGAAGTTTTAGGAAAGTTAGGAAATGTAATGGGAAAGCTTTTTTAACGGTAGACGTTATTAATACAGTGATAATAGACTTTTCTGCCTAAAGATTCCAATCGAATCAGGTGAAAAACGCCATTTGGCAACAAAAGCATGTGCGAAGCAAGAAATTAAAGTTAACACAATGCAGTTATAAAATGTTAATCATTACTAAATTTCGTATAAAACTTCAAACTTTCGAATGAATATTTTTCGTAATTTTCCTCAAAAATTGTGTGTACTTTCAAAGTCTATTTCCTCATTGTGAAGACAGTGCACTTGGACACCGCGGCGGTTAGCATCGGCACGTTGGAAGTTCATCACACATCACAGCAAATATGGCCAATACGACAGGTGAAGCACCGTGTGACGGAGCGAAGTATTAGCCATAACTGATTGTTGTTGTTTGTTTTCGGTGCCTTGTTGTGTTCCTTATTTACTACATTTCACTTGTGCGAGGATGGCTCAGTTGTTAGAAGCGCTGACTACAGACCCAAGGGTCCGTGGTTCGAGTCCATGGCATGACAAAACTTTGACCCAGATCGAGGAGAGTCGCCAGTTCTCTCTGTAAATCCAGGCATAGAAATCACAAGGTGTGGTCATATCGAGAAGAAGGGCCAGGACACTGCTCGATACGCATAAGCTTCTCAGTGTCCTAAAAACTACCGGCGGATGCTAGGTAGAGACAAATACAAATTCAAATGCAAATCACCACAAGCCCTGGTTTCTTGTAGTGAGAGGCACTGCCTGAAATATTAGAGACTTTCCAAAACACCCGGTAGCTCATCCCACACTATCAAGTGTAAGCAGCCGTGCCTGAGGGCCTAGAAAACTGACTCTTATCTCTGATATTTGATTCCCCTTTTCTTTGAAACCAAAGAAAATTTATACCCTTTTCCTGAAATCAAGTAGTTGAAATAAGGCCAAACAAAGAAAAGTTAGAAACTATATCAAGATTCCTATATCATACACAATTTTTCTTTGTCCTAGATATATGCATATATGACAAAATTGAACCCCTTTCTCGGAGATACGGGTGGTTACACTTGACAATAAGAGTGGACCCGCCGGGCCAAAACAATATGCCGAAGATGTCTCTTCTCTCTACAAACAATGCTTTCAATGCTGTTAACTGTTCTGTGTTAAATTCCACAACATGCAGAAAATGTTCTTTGAGTACTATTTCAACAGCGTCTTCGAACTCAATCGATACAGTCGGCAGCATTAATTTATGTTGTGTTCTGTTCAACGTTTTACACCAGAGCTACGTTTATTGTTTCGCTGTGACCTTTGAAGGTACAGATATCTGTACACTTGCTACTGATTGGTTAATATCGGCACACCAGAACGAGGAGAGGGGCGCACTGAAACAGACTCTCTCTTATTTTATATAGAGTGAGTCTGGTACCAAGGGTATGAATTCCAAAAAAGCTTACTATTAATGCTCATTTTTACTTCATCTGTAACTATATCTCGAAGAAAGGCCATCGCCTCTAAATTTAGCAATCTTATAAATTTTGTTGTCATTAATTTTTATTTATCCTATGCAATTGAAAGCAGGCTGGATTGATCTCTAGAGGGACTGGTCGAGGCCTGATTGATTCAGTGTTTTGCCATTGGAAATAAGATCGCGGCCTTCATAATTATTTTCATTAATTATGTATAATGCCATCAAGCAGCAGTTTTGATAATTTTCAAAAGATCAGATGTCTAAGGGTGAGGGGGCCATGATTAAAAAGGGGAATCAAAATTGAATGAAAGTTTTGCTATGTGTGATTATTGGGTATGTTTCTGTAAATCCAACTGCAAAGGCAAGTATGCCACCAGCCAAAGACCGAGATACAGCTTTTTGTTTGGGGGCCAGTATTGATAAAAAAGCGAAAAGACAGCCATATTTAACAAAGCAAAAGTATTTTACTTATAATACTTAAATTTTTCTGGGGGGAGGGCAAGGCCCCCTGCCCTCCTCCGGTATCTCGGTCCTTGTCCTCAACAGACGATGTTGTACAAAGACTAAGGAAGGTTGGTTGCTATGTTTCCACGTAGCGGGAAAACATAGCTTTAACAGTCTAAGGTGTCGGCTTTGGAATGCTTGAATCGGGCACTTCTTTGAGATTGAAATGCTCTGAAATTGCCCCTCCCCCTCCTGTGACAGAATCTCAAAAAGTCTTTAAAAATCTAGATTTAGAGTTGTGTGTAGGTTTATTGTTGTAATTTTATTTATTGTAATTTTACTATAGGTCACTTTAAACGAGTAACATAGAACCAATAACTCATAAGTTTTTCAACTATACAAGAGAGGAAGAGGGGGCAAGCAGTGCCTTTCAATATTCACTCCTGAAAGAGACGATATAATCTTGTTGATAATCGATGACTAATTTGGCCACTGTCATTATGCTAATTTCAATTAGAATTTCAAAAAGTCTTAAAGAAAACAGAAAATTATTTCTTAGAAGACGATGATAAACTTTAGAAATCAAACCAACGGCGTATTATAAGATACTGACTTTTTGCCCATAGTCAGAACGAGGATGTTACGCTTATTTTATGCCTTGATATAAGAAACACGCTGAAATACACAATTATTTGATTTACTTTTACTTCTAGTGATTATTATTTTCTTCTTTACACTCTCAGTGAGTCTGAAACCACGGAGTATTGAGACTGAGCGGGCAACCAAAGTTTTACGACCAGCCCGTTTATTAAATACCATGATATTCGTACAACCAAGCATTTTGAATAATGACAAGCCCATTTAATACCCACTTGCATTGATAATTTTGTCTTTTTTTTATATATATATTCGGTATAAAATATTCGGTTTAAAATATATCGGTATATAATTTTGTCTAAAACGTTTAGAGCCTTTGATTACAAAAAAAACACAGCTGTATGGGTGGAACAGATCAATGCCAATATTCTATTATATACCAACACTCCACCCCAACCCCTCACAAATGCTCGATTATGGTGGTGGAAAAAAATTCTACTATTTGCCCTCATCGCCAACACTGACCCTCCTGCCTTACTATTGTGCAGGTGTTCCTGCGTGTAAATACAGATGCAAAAACTGTATAATTCTAAATTTAATCTTGACCTCCTGTTGCTTTTGTTCAAAGTATTTTTGGCAGGCTTTATCATGTTCTTTTTTTGAATGCTTTGATAAGTCGTTTCTATACAAGTTACATTGGATGGGTGGAGCAACAGCATCTGCTTTAAAAAAACCGGCCCTTGCTATCAAATTTAGCTGACCATGACGATTAGATCTCTTCATGACCTAACTAGCGAGCTTAATCAATATGTCACAATTAGACATTATTTTCTGTTTCAGCAGCGACTACAAAAGAAGCTGTCATGACGACAAAGCAAGCCACGACAAGAGCGACAACAACAACGGCATTGGCCACCACCGAGAGACGTAAGTTACTTTTAACCATAGTCAGTAGAAAAAACTAATGACTTTGTTTTAACACATAGAGAACTTCATAAAAACCTAAACATTATTCATAAGACACCTTCGTCTGAGGTAAGCAGGACCAGATGCGGATTGTGAAAGGGAGAATGGTGGGTTTATAGTATTTACATTTATTTATAAATAGGGGAGTTTAATTGGTTGTTTGTGTTTGACCAATCAGCGACCGCTAACACCTCTCATGGTTGCTGAGCCAAGAAAAGTCTTTCTGTCTTCATAAGGAGGAGGGGGTTATTTGGTTTTAATAGGGAACGATTACAAAACGCTTAAAGGAACATTATGATATTCCGCTATCTTTTCAAGTTGTGAATTGTACCCATCAATATTCTAACTTTAATCGCACGAGGTGCATCCATTGGTCATTTAATTGACGTACAACACGACCATGCCTAGAAATCATGACGATACAATTTCATAGGGTCTAGCAATGTATTGCTTATGATATTAGAAAACTGTAGGATTTCTGGCCTGGTCAGTTAAGTATATTTGGACTTCGTCATCCAGTTCCTTTACCCAATGTTTTTTAATCATTTTTGTAATAGCATTCAACCAGAAAATCGAAATCTCTATGCAATAAATGTAAACTGAAAATATTACTCTCTGGTATGTAACAGTTGCACGATTAATCATTTGTTTTTCTAATTGCCAGAAACCACTACTCAATTGACCGAAACGATATCTACAACAAAATTTGTCGAGGCGACCACAAAAGCAGCAACAACAACTCAAAGTTTTTTTCTCTTTTTTGATATTATTTAATACTTTCATACTCTTTTCAAACCCTGAATTTAAAAACAACATTGTTAATCTTTCTTTCTACCTCCTATTATTAACGGCAGCTTTCAAATCGAGGACAAGTTTTCATAAGATTCTTTTGAAATGATTTGCAAGATGCCAAATTATCCAGCTGCACTTGGTGTTTAAATATGGACACTACTATCGAGGAGAATAAATTTATGTTTTTATGTTTGGATTGACAAATACCTACAATATTCTTACAAGAAAAGATAAATGACTCACAATAAATGAGTGGAAAAGGGGAAAATAAAGGAGAAGACGTTTTTTAGAAAATAAAGTTAGTATTGTCAACAAAACATTGACATGTTGTGCAATTTTTTCGGGCTGAATCAACTCATGAACGATTTCAACTTGCAACATTTTCTCATAAAACCACACCACCCCCCGCCCCCCCCCCCCCCCTCCTAAAAAAATCTACATATTTTCACCACAAGTGCCACGAGTTTACCCATCCCTATTCACTACCACCAAAGCTTCTTAAGAAAATAATATTGGAAAATGACAATTATTTCATAAAAGTAAACCAACTCTTTCATTAAGTGTATTATCTTGCTGCAAATAATGTTCAGAGCTTAGCCTATGGATACAAATTTTGGTAAAGACGTTGATTGGAAACGTCGATAAAATTTTTGTGAGGAAATATACTGAGATTGGAAAAAAAGAGCTTACATTCCTCTAAAAACTTCAGCTACCAGGCACACTTGAATGTCTAGGAAAAGAAATACTTGGAGATAAACTTTTGCTCAACAGCTTAAAGTTAGGAGAGAATTTTATAACGTCAATTTGTTCGCAGAAACAACCAAGGAAACAACATTAAAAACAACAACCACTGCACCAACAACAACAGCAATCCCAACAAATTCAACTGTTCAATCGACAACAGCAGGTCCTCACGGTAAGTCTGCGATTGTTAGTATTACCATTATTATAATTTTTGTCATCATAATCATAATCATAATCATAATCATCATCATCACCATTATTATCATCGTCATCATCATCATAATCATCATCCCAATCATCATCATCATCATCATAATCATCATCATCATCATCACAATCATCATCCCAATCATCATCATCATCATCATAATCATCATCATCATCATCACAATCATCATCATCATCATCACAATCATCATCATCATCATAATCATCATTATCATCATCACAATCATCATCATCATCATCATCACAATCATCATCATCATCATCATCATCATTATCATCATCACAATCATCATCATCATCATCATAATCATCATCATCATCATCACAATCATCATCCCAATCATCATCATCATCATCATAATCATCATCATCATCATCACAATCATCATCATCATCATCACAATCATCATCATCATCATCATAATCATCATTATCATCATCACAATCATCATCATCATCATCATCACAATCATCATCATCATCACCATCATCATATTTCTATAAGATCACTTGGTATTTTTGGCATTTACTGCAGCTCTTTCTTCAAGAGAAACGCGAATTTCTCCATCACTTCTAAATATTTGAAAACATAATTTATTGAAGAATGGAGAATGGAAAATAAACAAAAATTCAAAAATAGAAAGGCAATTTAAAATAGACGAATTGCAATTTAGCCAAGTTTTATCTCGTGCAGCAAAAAATTGATATTCCCACTATTTATAGCAATCTCTTACAAGTGTTTCGGAAATTTTGTGTTCCTTCAAGAATTGTTTATCCATTTTTGTCAATCCACAGAAATTTACTAAGGAATCGTGACTCTGCACCCTTGTCCAAATAAAGTCTCTAGACCCAAAACAGGGATGTGTAGTAAATCTTCGATTTTTCTAATCATCATCAGTTCAATATTCATAGCACAGAGAGCAATAGTAAAATATCCCCCAGAATGTTAAATGCATGCAGAACATCCTCGCTGTTATGGCTATGCCGTTGTTTATTTAGTGACACATCCAAGTCTTCAAACTGCTATCTACAATTACTACACAATGCAACATTTCTTGCAAGATATAAACATTTCTCTTTTCAGATTGCAAAACAACCGTTAAAGGAATGGGGTATCGTGGATATATTTCTCAAACAAGAACTGGGAAAGATTGCCAAAGATGGGATCAGCAATACCCGCACACACATCGGTTGAGTCCAACGAAGTACCCTACTCTTGGCCTTGACAGCAACTACTGCAGGAACCCAGATGGAGAGCCATTTGGCCCATGGTGTTATTCTTTAGATCCTGCTGTACGCTGGGAGTACTGCCAAGTTCCAATGTGTAGCTAGCCCTGCAGCCCTATGCATTCAAGAGACGACAGAAGCACTTCTTGAAACGCATAGAATTTCAAGACATGTATTTAAACATATAGGGACAGTGCCAAAGCAACCTCAAAGTGTCTCAATATTGAAAACTACCAATTAAATCCTATTTCAGACTCCCTAATTATTATTTTCAAGCCTTTCGTGTTTAGAAATTGCAAGGTGAATGCAAAGAAGATCGTCGTATCGTAAGAAAACGCCTAGATAAGATTAAGTGAAAATGCTATTAAAGGGCGTGTGTCGTGAACATGATTGGCTAATGCAATACAATTATCTTTTCTGTATAGTACAAGGCATGGAATCGAGGGTGAATTTTTACGGCAGTACAGTTTAAGAAGAAGAAATGAAAAGTCACGAAACAATGGAATTCCACTCCAAACGCTTTTGTTTTATTAGCCAAAAGTTTATGCGATGTATGCCCTTTAAAAACAGAATAGTTTTATTTTACTGTTGATTTTACTATTCCGTTTGCGTCTCTTGTTCACATTTCTTTCGTTTCCAATTTAAAGAGTGTGCTAGCCATTCGCCCTGCTTACTACTATTTGAAAACTTTGCAACCACCCTGTTTTATCAAGATCACCCTTTTATAGAGATTTTGAAAAAAAATTTCACCTCCCCCCTCCTTCGTTCATTCCAGACCCCTGGTCTTTTATTGACTTGAAGTAATCAGTGTAGCCTTCGCAATTTCTCTGCTGATAAAGCTATAACATTCGTTCTTAGTAAAAAAAGATTGGCTTTGCACTTGAATTTAGATCGGTTTAACTGATACTTAAACATTATATTCTCCAACTAAATGTTTTGTTTGATATTTCAATAATATTTGAACAACTATTATTTTAACAACAATATGAAATGAATACCACACTTAGAATTAGTTGAAAGATGTCGTATTTTATTCTAGGATGATCTACACAATGCTTTTTAGATGATTTTTTCATCGTGTCGCGAGTGAAAACTTTTCGCAAATGCTTTCATTCTGTTATAGGTAAGAAAATGTTTACGATCAAGAGAAGGGCGAAGCCAAGCAAATTCGCTTGTGCCTCGAAATAAATTTCGAAAAAGTTAAATGAAGCAGGTTTGAATTTTTAATCTGTCTGAATTGTAAAAAGAACACTAGCTGGCCTCTATCTTAAATCTATTCAAATTTATGGGACTCTTGAAAAGGGTTTCTGTGGATTTGAGGGGAATACTGATTTGCAACTTTTTAACTTTAACTTTTTAAGTTCCATAGAAATTCGCAACAAATTCAACATGAGTTATAGTTAAAATGTTAAGATACAGCCAGAAAATATTTACAATGCAATTATGTACAATTTCAAATCTTTATGGGAAAGAATTATCAATGAAATTACTCTTCTAAGAAAGGGAAAAAGAATTTTGCTTATTTAAGAATCCTTCCAGTTTCCAGTCCTTTTTCATCTGCCAACAAATTCTCAATACGCATTCTCTGAAATGTTAAATAATTGCAATGATAATTTAATGTGAATCTGAAACCTTCACTCCTGAAAACTAACTAGCATGGTGCTAAGAAGCACTGCTTCCAGATATCATTCATTTGTCATCATAATTATTGCAAAGAGTTGAGAAAAGGAGGATGTGGGGTTACAAGTCATATGGCTCACAAGCAAAGGTATGGTTTGGCCTCCTATAATTATTAGCTGTAGGCACTCTCTATTGTAGTATTTCTTCTTCTCAATTTTAATGACACTGATTTAGTGCTCAAGTAAAAAATGGATGTAAGCACTGCTAGCTAAAAGTCTAATCAAATCAAATTCTAAAAGGGAAGAAACAAATTCCAAGAAGTTCTTTTGCAAGAAAATTTTGGACTGAAGCTATGCAATGATACTGTGAATATACAAAATAAATGTCTGTTTACTAGCTGAAAAACATAATCTGAAAATGCTATTTAACAAAATGACATTTATACTCTGAAGAGTGTCAGACGAGAAGCTTAAGTATGTTCTAAAATTTTTGCTTTTATCGAGGCTATTTTTAATTTTTTTACCACAAAAAGATTGTTTGAAATGACATTTATACATCAAATCATGAAATAAAAATCACTGTTTACTGGTGTGAAGTATTCAATGCCGTATAGGCAGAGCTGTACCTGCTATTGCGTGGTACAGTTAACTCTAAGTGGACACCTCTATAAGACGGACACCTCGTTAAGACGGACACTCGTTTGAAGTCCCTGCCAAACCGTATAGAAAATGCAGTATGTTCGTACTCTATAAGATGGACACCTCGCTAAGACGGACAGCGGACGCAATTTCTTTGTCCCCAACACACAAAAACCTCAATAAAGCGGACACTGATAAAACAACTTTCGTTTGAAAACACTGATTTGAAGATAAATGCGCTTATTACAGACACATATCCTATGTCGCTGGCTTCTTCCTTTTCCGAGATTTTCGCTCTTTGTTTATGTCGACCTATTTTTTGCAAAGTTCTTTTTCTTTTTCAATATGTTGCAACAGCCAGTCCACAGCTCTTGTGTCGCCTTCAAGCAAATATTCACATGTAATTTCCAACCCACTATCTCTATTTGCATTTTCTCCTGTAACGCGAGAAGAAATCTTGTTGTTGTTTAATCTGAGGAACATCGTCACCCAAGCACTGATATATTTGGGGGTATGCCCAACTACGTTTCCTTCATTGATCACAGCGACGGCGCTTTTATCTTCTGGATTATCAGGCTCTTGGATGCATGGAAGAACTTGATCAATTACCGGTCCCATACGTCTTAATATGCATGATAGCCACGTACATAGGATCTCACTACAGCAGTTTTTATACCATTGTCATCGAAGCATCAGGTTTGTGGAAAGACTCTAAAGCACACTCTTTCGGTAGGAAAAAAGATAGAAGTGTTGGATTCTGCCAAAAGTCATCCAACAGAACGTTGCAGTAAATTGCCCTTGAAATTTAACGTTGGAAAGACACAGATTACAAACCTCTTGAAGAATGAAGCAAATGTTCGACAGACTTATGCTGAATTTTGAGGACCCAGTAAACGGGCAAGATCTGGCAAGTACCATGAAATAAATGAAGCGTTGTATGCGTGGTACAAGCTAGCAAGAGAGTCTTTGGTGTCTATAAATGGTCCTATGATTCAAGAAGAAGCTTTGGAAATTGCAAGATTCTTGAATCTTCTTGAACCAGCTATAAAGAATTCAAGGCCTCCAGCGGCTGGCTAGAAAGGTGGAAAGCTTCGAATGGAATTTTGCAACGCTTGGTTGAGGGAGAGTCTGGTGAAGTCCAAGAGCAGACGATTGAAAATTGGATGGAGCGGTTAAGAGAAATGCGTATCGGGTACAAAATGGAAGACATTTGGAACATGGACCAAACGGGCTGTTTTTTCAAGCTCTACCTGAAAAGACAACAATGCTTTTTCAAGTGACAACAATGCCTTGTTGTTTGAGCTCCTCCGCAATCAAAAAGGGCAATTTTCTATAAGACGGACACCTCGTTAAGATGGACACCTTTATAAAGTCCCGAAGGTGTCCGCTTTAGAGAGAGTTCTAGGTTGCTACTCACACAAACATCAAGCAACTGTTCTATCAACTAAACATAAAATCAAATTGAAATCGTACCTCATCTTTTCCTAAAATATCTCTGACTTCAATTGCTTTTGGATATGCAGGTAGAAGTGTCTGCAGTCGCATTGCCTTGATTGCAGTGGGTTGACATGAAATCAAATGATTTACCTCGTCAGCCTGTCAATTTAATGGTAAATTTTGCTTCATATCAGAGTTCATAATAAGCAATTTAGAATAAAGATGAAAATTGATATTCTTAAACTAAGTAAATTCATCAGTCGTATGGTCATTGATAAAGATTGTTTTTAGCTATATAAGATATACAATATATCATCATCATCATCATCATAGTCATTAGCCCTTCAGGCCATTGCTGACCGATGGCCTCTCCAACATCCATTACATCTTGTTTTTTGTTTTGACACCCCGTTCATCCTTGCTGCTTTCTCAATGTCCTCCTGCCATGGTCTTGTCTTGTTGGTCTCCCTCTGTTACCTAACATCATATTTAATAAAATCTTTGAAATAACTTACTCGATTCTTTTCATATCTAAGTCGAAGAAGTCGAGCTCTGTTCCTGGCCTCTGCAGCTCTGAAATATTGAACATGATAAATTGTTAATACAAAAAATTTCAGATGCATTATGAGAACATGAGGGAATCGGGAAATGGCAATTTTTTATGAGCAGTATCCAGGAATCAATAACACCAGGATTTGGGAACTGATGGTCGGGAATCAGGAATAGGCCAAAAACAAAGCAGGAATTTACCAAAGTCAAGCACGTTGAAACACACATTTCTTTTGGTCATGGCTATACTAACAACATACACAGGATGGTCCCAAGACCTTGCTAGATAGTTTGCTTCACACTAGGAAAGTGTCTAGTTGACCAAAAGAGTTACCAGAAAGTGTTGGACAATAACTCTCTCTCATCTCCTGTCTTCCCAAAAGTCAGCTCTGAATTTCCCTGGACAACTGTTTCCAGCACACCCTCCCTAAAGACTTAATTTAGTGCCAAAGAGGATTATTGCCAACAGCTAGTTTTCTTCAAAAGGCTGCTATGTGTGTATCATGCCAGTGATGACAGCAATCCACAGTACCCCCTCCCCTAAAAACAATCTACTGCCATATAAATCTCCATGGTCTTAGGCTCTTCACATTTAATATAAGTCCTTTTGATGCTGGCATACCAATCCAATCACAGCTCAGCCAGCTAATTTTTGGGTAGCTAGGCAAAGGGTATAGTATGGGTACCATCGCAGTGAAAGCCTTTATGTATATTACACAGAGGCAAAAGGGAAGATGGAGAAAGGGTAATTGACCCAAAGACAGAGTAGGTGTTACCAACTAGTTAGTAGAGTCGCAACTTGCTGGCAGACCTAAGGGCCACCATAAAAAAACAAACTTATTTTCCAACATACAAACAAAAAATAAATTTAGGAAACAATGTATATCAAGTCTTATTTGCTTGGACTCACTTTAATTGGCCAATAAGCTGCTCGTGCCTCTGTGCTTCCATAAGTTCCTGTGTTGGTGGCGGAGCATAAATCCTGCAAATGGTTTTACAAGATAAGGCATATTTTGTTAACTGGAGTTTTGAAATAATTGAAATTTTGAGCGTCTCAAAACTTATATTTCAATTTTTCTCTAAGAACAGACATTACATTAGTGCTATACTTTATGTAAAGTCATTTATATGTTAATGGTATATAGTAACATGCACAAAATTGTCAGTAAACCACTGTAAGCAACAGAATATTTAGGAGAGGTTTTTCTCTGCTAATCATTGAAGGTTGAAAAAATAAATCATTCACCTCTTCATTTCCTTCTTTACATCTGCAATTCTTTTTCTGCTAGCATTAATTCCATGCATTGCGTCTTTTGAGGGTTCTTCATACTAGATAATAATTAACAAAACCAAATCAAACAATTTGAAACTTCAGATGGTCTGAAGCTTGGTGAAATCCTTCAAGAAATAATTAACTAAATTTGAATTGTTAAATCACCACTTTTGTGACCTTGAGATGGCATTCCTCACCTGAAAATTTCAAACTTAGGGGACAAAGACTTTGTTTCCTGTTATTATTTTCAGGTCATGTCCTTTCCTCAAATGTGAATGGCGTCATTGGAAACAAAGTGCTACAGCAGGTAAGGGTTTAAACAATCTATCTAGGCTGACTCTTTTTTTATAAGAGCAACTTTATAAGAACAAGAGCCAGAAAAAGATTAAGAACAAATTAAGAATAATTGGAGGCTGAGCTACTGTAAAATGTAATTTTGAACAATGTTGTGAAACCCTCTTAAAAATTTCTTATCAAAAACGTAGAGTTTTTTGTCACCTAGGGTGTATTTTCAAGTGAATTTTCAAACTTTTCAGCACAAAAGGATCTCTCACACAATTTCTTGGCAAATGAAGCCTGAACTCCCACCTAGAGCAGGCTAGATAGAAATCACACTACTTACACCCTACAGATTAAGAACAGATAAGGACTATGGAACAATCAAGCAAACCTCAAATATTCGAAAATCAAATGAGGATTTTTATGCACATTGAATAAAAGGTTAATTTGGTATAGTTTTTGCATGGCAGATAACAAGATAGATGATGTCCGTTTTATGTGTGTATTTGTTAAAAATACTACATGAACCTGCTTTCAGAAGATAAAACAATATGAACTTGAAATGAACCAAAACTTTTAATTGATAAATAGTCTCTTAAATAACAAGCTAGATGGATTTTTATAACAATTACCGTTGATATTCGAATTTATAGATAGTGAAGATCGTCAATCATAGGGAGATTACTGGCATCAAATTCATAGCAAAGAATGACTTTTACACAGCAACTTACAGCTAAATATTTACTACGTAATTGAGGGTGTAACTTTTGCACTTCCTTCTTGCTTAATTGCTTCCAGTTCCTCGCATGTAACTTTGTCTCGTCATTGTCATATGATTTATTCTTTTTACCCCCACGAGAGGAGTCCTAGAAAAAAAATTCACAAAAAGTAATCCTAACAAATAACAAAAACATTCCTTTTCTGGTGGTTAATCGTTACACCAATGATACTCTTTTTATCAAGAATGAAACAGCTTTGAAATGATAAAATTGGGAAAGGAATACTGTAAAGATAAATTTGTAGATATGCACACAGATCCCAGAGTGAAGGTATTTTTTCTAAGCAGGGAACCTCAGAACAATAAAATTCGAATTTGCAGATACAAGGAGTGTTTCGCATTATTTATTTGTGTTATTTTTTTCTTGCTATCAGAAATTAGAAGATCAAATTGTGCGATTTTCACAGGGAACGTGGCCAGAGTATATCATGCGCAACCAGAACCAGGCAATGGCCTAAAACGATTTAATTAAATCATGATAAAGACAGCGTGTGGCTGGCTTAATCTATGGGACCTTTTAGTTTTCTGTTCAATATTTTCAATCTTACCTTTCTCTCTGCCATGATCTGCTACCTCATTCTCAGCTAAATTTGTAGGTCGAATTGTCGAAGTTCACAAAATGGTATCAGGATTGTTTTCGACAGCCATGGAAACATCCGGACCCAAACCGCGAACCTCCTTTGCATTAAGTATCAAAACGAGTTCCTCCTCTGATGGCGGATTGCCTCGTGTCAAAAGATTCAGTATGAGCAGCACCAACATTTTAGAGTTTCTTATGCTAGTTGGTAAGTTAAAGGTACGTATACTCAGTTTTCAAGATTAATAAGCCCTATTGATCTATGCTCTATTATTTTTAAGCTATTTTATTTGAATGGCACAACACAAAAGTTCTTTTGTCCGACCCTGTGCTTATTCCCCCCCCCCTTTCCCAAAAGTTTTTCATAATCAAATTTTGCGAGTTTTATAAAATTTTAACAATGAGTACTACCTTCTAAGACTGAAACTTTTATTTCAATGACAGAATGTCAAAAGAACGGGATGGATAAACCACAATGTGAAAAAACCAGAAAGTGTTGCGGATCATATGTATAGAATGGCAATTATGACTTTCTTGTTGAACAACCCATCAGCTGGAGTCAATAATGAACGGTTAGGTACATTTGAGTATTTGCGTCTAGCCTAGATTTATTTACATCACCCCTGTAAATATTAATGAAATAGGCTTTCATCTCGAAAATTTATGTAAAACATGGGTAACAGGAAGGTCAGCAGGTTTGTTGATTGACTTGTGTTATATTTTTCAGAAAACTAAATTAGTTAATACAGAATTGTTCCTTCTTGATTGAACAGGTTTGGTCTTCTCTCTATGATGATCATGTTCAGTGAGTACGAAAAAGGATTTAACAGTGTCTCCTGGAGAACTTTTACAAAGCAGGAGAATGTCTCCCAAATCTGCTTTCATGGGTTTCCAGTGCCTGACTGTTAGCGACCGCACACAAGTCTAAAAGTGGAGGGGCTGACATGGGTGTGTCCAAAAATTTTTAAGGCCATGCCCTCTAGAACAATGGAAAACGCTCCTTTTAGAAGATACTTGCTTTTCGAAAATACTTCCTTATCCAAAGTTATGTTCAAATAATTTTCTAGCCCATTATTGCAAAAATGTAAGGGGGGCTATAGCCTCTGCTAGCCCAATGGCTGTGCAGTGTCTGCTGACTGTATAGGGAACTCCAGTTCATACCACTGTACATTTAGCTTTTTAAACTTGATGGGAATGATTTGTTTAGATGATATGCTGTCAGTCTAAATAGAAACTTGTCTTTTTTTCATTATCCTCATTATTATTTCACTTAGGTGCCTAAAATTGGCTGTTGTACATGACCTTGCAGAATGTATTGTTGGAGACATAACACCTAGTGACCCTATGGGTCATGAGGAAAAACACAGAAGAGAAAAGGTAATCTCTCTTTTTTCATCTTCCACAATATACTGTAGAATTTTAAAAATGAAATTTTGTTTTCAGTACACCCAAATTCAATAGTAATTTTAATTTAGCAGTGCTGGCTATATGAAATTTGTGGGCTTGCTAGTAATCGCATGTCTTGAAAAGTTTAGGTGTGTCATGAGGTGTGATCCATAAAATGGAGACCTCGTGATTTCTATGAAGACCTTATGTCACTCTATGAAAGTGTGTTTCACTCTTTGAAAAAGCATATGAGACTTTCATAACCAAAAAGATTTTAGAAGAAGTTTCTTTAAAGCAAAATAATTTGGCAAAAAGGATACAAGTTTTTTAGGCCATGTTGCCATTGCTCCTTTTCCATATGGGAACAGATTCGAGTGAATCTGTTTTAGATTTTGAGTTCCATTAATCACTCAAAAACGGTGTCATTTGATACCAAAGTGAGAAGTTATTAAAAAACGCTGTTCAAAGTGGAGTCATCTGAAACCAGAATCATTTGAATACGCATTGTTTTAGTAGAAACAGTGAAGACAGAGGTATTCAAAAACTGAGTCATTCATTCCCAGTTTCAAAAAGAGCTCAAGCAAAGAATATGAAAACAGATGAATATGGAGTAATTGCAACACCCATGTTATCATTTTAACCCAAACAGAGTGACCCAGAGTAATTTGTTCAAGAAAATATGAAAAGAACAGAAAGAGAGAACAAAGACATTTGAAAAGGGAGTAATGGAAACAAGGAATTAAAGAGTTAAAATGCCTCCTGAAATGCTATCAATTTAACCTACACAAAAGAGATTAGAAATTACTTAGAGAAAATGAGCAAGAAATTAAAAGGGAGAAAGGAGAAAAATAATAGTAACTCGTAACATGGAACTGCGTGTGCTATAAAAAGCATGCCTTGGGAGTGTTAGGCGTGTGTGGAGCCGTGCCTGTGCAATCACACGCCTTATATTACCAGAACTGATTTGTTGTTGGTAATTCTTTTAATACAGAATGTAATCATGGTTCTGAGGTTTAACATACTGATACAATCAACAAAGATTATTTTTCTTTAAATTTGAAAGCATGAATTAGGTTTTACCTTATTTCTCAATATAACATACACATTTATGTTTATAGTGCTTTCTTACAGGACAAAGACGTTTTTGAGCACCACATCTACCCGAATAAATATATTTTGATTTTCTTTTAGGATGCAATGAATCATCTAGCAAGCCTAATAGACTCCAAGGTAAAGTTTTCCTGGATTTTCTTTATGTGATGCAATTTTCTAATAATCTTAATTCTCTCTTGCCACTTCCACCTCACTACTTCACAACCAGCTGATACATATTTCAAATGTAGAAAAGTAGAAGGCATAGTACTGTTTTGCAGCAAAGTTTGTTTTCAATTGTGTCAAAATTAATAATGGCTCTGATAAAGGCATAGAAAACCAAAATAGAAGAAACAACTGCCTTTGGCTACTGTGAAGATCTCCAGGGTTGACGTCAAAAGTCACCAATCATTTCATTAGGCTGGTTGACTCTGCTGAATGATCATTGCTTTTGATGACACAAACTGTAGTTTGATTCTGACCAAGTGCAGTGTTTTAACAATTGGGCAGCACCCTTATAGAAATAATTTTCTCCTATCAAGAAGGAGCAAGGGAGAAAATTGCCCTAAGGACCTCAAGGTCTAAGGAGCCTCTTAAAGAAATAAATTATATTTTAAAAATTTAATTATAACAACATAACAAAAACATGCCTTAAAATGGTAAAATGTTAGAAACAATTGCACCAACATGACTGTAAACAATATTCTGAATGTATTTCTATGAAAATATAAGTATGTGGTCACAAATATTTTCTGCTCACAGGGGCCCTCATCTTTTTGAGTGCTTTTTTCAGAGCCTCTGACACCGTTTGGCAGTCCTGTGTATATATGAACATAAAGTACTGATTGTTCCCTTCTGTTTGTCTTGTTTTTTCCAGTTTTATCATTTTGAAATACTTTACATCAAAATAAGATAATATACCTGTACAACCTGTTTTTCAGATTGGCAAAGAATTATTAGAGCTGTATGAGGTGCATGCTCTTTATTGTTTTCAATTTTTGTCAGAATTTTCTTTGGAAGTTGAAGTCAGAACTGACCAATGGCTTAGGCATTTATTAACTTGACATCTTTGTTAGTCGTTGCAATTTTTTTAATGTAACAAAATGATATTTTGATGACAAATCTTAGATGTTTGAGCAAAGTTATGTCTTATACATGGCAAAATACTGCAAATGTGTCAAAATTTCAAGAGTTTGTTTTTTCAAAATAAAAGTTTCACTGAATATATTTAAATGAAATAGAAGTTCCAGTTACATATTCTTGCATCTTTTTTGTCATTACATTATGTTGTTTATATATATTCAAGTAGTCATTGTACGCTAAGTGATAACCTATTTGTCAAATGTATTTGTAATTGTCACATTTTGATGAAAGGAATATGAAAGCCAGACAACAAGCGAAGCAAAAGCTGTGAAAGATCTAGATCGTTTTGAAATGATTTTGCAAGCATTTGAGTATGAGAAAGGTAATTTTAACTTTCTTCAATGTGGCATAATTTTAATTCAAAAGTAGACAACTGTAACAGCTTTTTGTTTGAAAGATCAAAAGAGAAGATTCTGATATGATCAATCGTCATTTTAATTCTTAATTTCTAATTGAGTGATATATCAAATAAATTAAAATAGCATTTTATTCATTCGTTGTTTAAAGTCAATGAATGTATGCAAACCTTTTTTCCTTATAAAGCGGAAGACAGACACGGCGAGCTTCAGGATTTCTTTAATTCAACAAAAGGTTGGTTTAAATTTCTGTGTTTTAGTACAGTTACACTTGCCAAATACTCATTAGTACAGTTACACTTGCCAAATACTCATTGACTGTCCAAATGTTATTTATTTAAAAGTAAGATGCCCACCGTGCTAATTCCCCTCCACGAACAATAGAAATCAGCTCTTGTCGTTGTTTCTCCATATTTCTAGATAAATTCAAGACTCCACAAATTAAGGAATGGGTTGAGGAACTTGGTAGAAAAAGGGAAGAACAACGAACAATGCATTTTAATTAATAGTTTTTGTTATGATCAATGTCTTTTAGGACATTTTCATACGATGCTTTTTGCAGAACAAGACATTAAAAATTCACTGTATGAAAATGTTCACCTTTTGTGAGATATATTTTACATAATCATAAGATGGTGTAAATTTCTGTATACTTCTTCATTTTTACTAAATTGGACATTTTTAGATAATACCTGTGTTTGAGCTTCATCAATTTGTTAAAAGCATGACCCATCGTGTCCCCGAAAACGAACAAATTTTTGCTTGAAAGTTTATCGTTGTTTGCATTTTAATAAAGAAGAAGCTTATTTTTCTGAAAGGCTTTTAGAAATGTAAACTTTTCTTCTAAAAAACTAGTTTCCTGACAGCTGCTACTATGTTGAATAGCATTGTCAATCCATTGTCCTTGGTAACTTTGCAGAGACAAGTAGTTTTAAAGGTGGAAGGTTTAAGCTCTTGGGTTTGTTAAATAAACTTATGTTACGTCATAACGCCTTCTCAGTATGCCACTGTTTTGAATGCAATATTTAATGTTTTCCATACATATTTATTATAGTAATGACGTTTTGTCCATATTCATTATCTCTGCAAAACAGTGGTGGATCTTTAACGTGCTGAATGGTGTGTGAAGCAAGTTTAATTTACCGTCGAAGTGATTTGTGAGGACAATTTTCACCGCCTTTCCCTAACTCTGGAGACTTTGCCCACTAACAAATATTTCAACTAAAAACGAACAAAATTGTGACGCATACAGCACACAACATTCGATGCATGCTACAGGAGCAGTTGATTCGTAGCATCATTTGAGTTTCTTTAAAGGCGTTTGCGCAACTACCTGTTTCGTAAACAAGATACTCATTTGATACAGATCTAAAGCTCGAACTAGTTTAAACATTTTATCAAAGTTGTTTGCGAGCAAGTCCACGCGATCTTATTCCAAATATGATAAGATAATCTTTGTGAACTCAGTTGCTATCAAACTTTGTTTGTAAGTACTTTAAGGAAACCAATCAAAAACGGTAGCGTAAAATACACAGGAGGTCACTAACACGTGGAAACCTCCTCTGAGTACACCACAGTTGTGAAATCAAACATATTTTTTAGACCTGTTGTGATTATTTACAGAGTATGATAAAAAGTATGAAAAGAGTGATGCTTATATAGTAAAGATATAAGCTTTTGAATATTAAGAAAACATATAATCTCAACATTTTGATAAGGCTGAGAAGTCAACAATTGCATCAACGATTTTTTCTTGCCATATACATCAACCATGTTACTTTAACGAAAGCTTCTGTCAAGTTTTAGCTATTCTAGATTTTTCGATGCCATATGACAGGGCTCTACACACTTCATCGCATAGAGCAGTATAGGTTCCACTCCTAATGCGATCGTCATGCAGCCAGTTTCCACTCATTTTGTAGGTGCCGTTTTGTTGTCTTGCCTTTCTAGAACCTTTAACTTAGGTTTTTTTTAATAATAGTGTTTTTGCTCCAAAATTTTCGTTATTGTGAGGAAACCTGTTATGATGCTTGATATACGGTTGCCATGACAAATAAAAGAAATTAATCATGGTAACTATTGTTTCGACTGGAAATACCACCTGGTGACCACCTCATTACGTTGAATTACTCACATGGTTAATACTTCTTATCAGTGATAAATAAAGGACCGGGTAAATATTTGCTCATCCTGTTTGCATAACATTGTTTCACGTATCGGTGTCAATGCAGATACGAGAAAAATTATTTTGGCTTGACATATATCAAACCCGTTTTTCGTTCTTGTACAACTAAGCAAAGAAAATGAAGTTTAGTAGAGCCCTGTTCTTCTATGGAAGCCCAGTCGTTGCCGTTTTAGCTTGTTTGTTGAACCTGCCTGAAATCATTTTGCTTCTGAAGAGATACAGAAAAATGTCGAAGCTGCACGTGAAAGGTCGTGTGGTACCAGTCCTACTCCTGATAAGTTTGGCTGCATCGGATTTTCTGGTTGGCCTGACAGTCATACTCATTAAAATCATCCGTTATCTTCTGGACGAAGGCATTATTCCAACGAGTGAATTCAACAGGAAGATGCACAAGGTCCTGTTGTTCCTGTTCCTGCGCCTGTCTTTGCTCACTTCAGTCTTCAATCTTTTAGCCTTGACAATTGATCGATTATGCTCGATACGGAATCCGATATTGTATCGCACTAGGGTATCCTCTCGGCACGGATTCGCTGCTGTTCTTGCAAGCTGGATGCTAGCATCAGTACTTATCGCAATTCAATATTATTTCTCAATCTATGAGGATATGGAGCCCATAAAATACCGTCTACTCATCTTTCCTGTTACAATTATTCCGGCATCTAGTTGTTTTATTCTTTGCTATATCAAGATTCTTAACAATATGTCAATGCATGGACAAGCAATTCGGGGACAGCTTCAAACAGCTGAGAAATGCCCACTTTACATTCTCGAACGAGAACTCAAAATCTCACGATTTGCAGCGACAGTTGTGTCTGTCTTTATGGTGTGTTGGTTACCTCTAGCTTTTATTGGTCTTGTCAACATTTTGGGTGTTGATATTGATAATGAGTTACCAAACACGATGTTCATTCTGGCTTTCACGAACTCTGTTTTGGACCCTTTAATTTATTTTGGTTTTAAAGAAAAGGAGAGCTTACGCAAAAAGATATCGCAGATGACCGCGAGAATTTTCAAACGGAATCATTGATTATTTACATTTCACTTACTAGCAGCCTTCGCGGTGTGCTATTTGATAGAGAAAAAGTCGTCAATGTACAGGACAAATAAAGAAATGTGACAGTCGATAGAAAAATCTGCTTTCGTGACTTTCGTTTGTTACCAGTGAGGAATTACTGCCTATAAAACAGCCTGTAAATGCGCAAAAACAAAAGACCGTTGGCTCAGCAAGAGCAAGTGAAATGGCATGAGACGTATAGCAAATTATTGCACCTTTGCAAGAGACGTAATATTTTACCAACGAATGCACCTACGTAGCAATAAGTGCCTTTTGCAATGCTTCAACAAACTTCAGTATATTCGCAACTCATTTTGGGAAGGAACCCAATTAAAAGGGTAGAACAGCAAAATTAAAACGTATTGGAATTATGCCTAGGAGCTGATCTGTTATTATTAACACAGGGCTACTTGTTCAGCTTTCTTTCGGGTATGATGGTCGGTTAGTTTATGTTGACTAGCGCAAATAGCTTTTGCTAAGCTTGACACTTTTTGTTACCGATCAGACATTATCCGGTAACTGTTTTGTGTGAACAGCGTATAGTCTAACACAAATACATATAGTAGCAGCTGTTTTTCATTGTATTCAACTGCTTTCCCAGTTTCAGGTGTCTTTGATGCTCGACCTTTCTACTCGTATTACCTACCTCGAATCTGATACGTTACAAAAGAAAACCGATGCCAGGAAACAAGCTTTTGGGGACATGTACCGAAGCGTTCAAGAGAGGAATTATAAATTCAACTGCCGGGACCGTAGTTATGAGGGGTGTATGAGGTGGCTCACTTGCTTTCGAGAAAGCTCCGTTTTTTGCTTCGTCGCTAGGGATGCTTCGTCGGCCAATGTTCGACCTTTTCTGCAAATTAAAATACGGTTCATCCCCCGTTGTCGAAAAAGGGGGCCAGAGTACTCGGTGAAGTAATAAGCGGCTGCCCTGCCAACTGGGTTTCGAGTTTTTGGGTCTCATTAAGCAGTGGCGGATCCAGCAAAAAACCTGACTGAGTTCCAGGCCAAGGCTAGGGTCTTTCAGACAATGCATTGATCATTGTGCATAAGACAACATTATTATTCATATTTATGCATTTTGGTACCATTGAGAGGGGGGGTAGGGACGATATACTCACTAAATCTAGATTCTAGATTTCTTTCCGACAGAAAACAGTGCCTCTGCGAAAAAAATTTTCAACCCCCTCCCTTTCTCATTCCCCTTTGCTTGTTTTGGATGCCATAGCAAAGTTTTTCCCTTTTGTTTTGCTCGCAATTTGTTGTTTTGCCTCAGTAGACACCAGCCTATTCATCAAAATATGGTGTTCCGTCTGAGCATAGGTTTTCCGTGCCACCAAAGACTGCAGTTCAAAGCCCTGAAAGGGGGGCATGAGTCCGGACAACCTACTGTCCCCGACACCCTAAACACATACTGTCCCCGACACCCTAAACACAGTTTGTGTGCACTATGAGTGCTGTGTTCTCCACACAAAAGAATTTAACTACGTAAGTTTCCCGACAAACCTCTAAAAAATTGATTAATTTTTTCGCCTCTGGACACATTTCAAATGTTTTGTCTGGATAATACAGTACTGAAGGGGCACAAAGACGTGCCCTTAAAGTGAACATGTTCTGGGGGGTATGGGGGCGTGCGCCCCAATAAAGTTTTGAATTTCATGGCGTCTTTTCTGTCTTTGCTGGCTTCCTAGAGACCTATAAACCCGACAAGTCGGTCGTATCAAACTTTTTTTGAGTTTTCGGCGCCCTATACAAGCTTTTGCGCCCCTATAAAAATGTCATCTGGGGGGGGACCTGGCCCCCTTGGCCCCCCCTGCAAGGCCGCCACTGGTGTGCAGAGCAGATGACCGAATGTTTAGATGCTGTCCACTGATCAGCCCGTTTCGAGTTGATGAAGTCGATCCATCTCTTGCGTCTTCTTTTAGCCTCAGGGCGATCATCGTTGTAAAACGGCACTGGATGAAGTGCAAAACATCGATTCTTATCGGGTATGTTGCAAGTTGGTAAAATGCACCTTGCCGGCATATCGATTTAGTTTTTCAATAGCCTTCCATGTATGCTGGCCTTATATATATATTTTTGGTTCCCGGTATGACGTCAGAAACATTCGAACGAGGCCACTTTCCATTCATTCGCAGCGCGGCGCTGAATCGAAACTGATTACGTAATGCGTCAATATTTACAACTTTGACGAATTAGAAAACAAAAACTATAAGTCCAATTGCTTAATAGTTTCGATTGACGAAATGTATGTCTAGTATCTTATCGATAAACGTCATAAAAGATTCTAGGTGGAGAGGCACTTTAATAATCTGCTAGAATGCTGCGATGGTCGTGAGTATAAGACATCTGCAGTCGCCATTTCGAATTCAATGTTTTGCAGTTCCACAGTAGAACAGAAACTATAGGTAGTCAATCAACTACGGGCCATTGTACAGCTCTCTTACAAATATGGTATCACCGAGTTCCAGATGCTGTTTTGACTGAGTTCCATCCGTGTTCCAAACAAAAATTTCATTGTTTCAATTCATTCACTTTCGAGGCACAAAATGTTTGTTTCCGAGTTCTAGACTGCTGTTGTCCTCCACAGCGTCTGGAAAATCGTTTCCAAATCAGGACAGAGAAGAAACTGGCAATTTTAAGATTTTGAAGAGACTGTAATAAAACATAGAATTTTTTGGTTTCAATTTTTAATTATAATATTACTTGTTTCAGACAACACTATTTTTAGCTGTATGTTGGAAAACTGACTGTGTTCTGTGCACCAAGGAACTCACTCTGGATCCCCCTCTGCATTAAGGGACAAAAATTATGTTTTGTATTGCTTATGATAAACGGAAGTTGACAATTTTATAAAATTTGACAAAGTTTACCTGCAAAAATTTAAATAGAGTGTTCAAAGAATTCTTGTAATTCAACAAATGCGATCAAAAATTTTGTGTAATTTTATGAATACCATTTTCACTTCTAATAAACAAATCAATTTCTTGGTAAGATGTTACAGCGGTATCACATACTCGTATTAGGGTAAATAATGCTAGCTGATTGCATTAACGTAGCGTAATGCTGCCAACATGTACTCGGTAGATAAGAACTTGCACCCCCCCCCCAAAAAAATCCCTGAAACCGGGCCTGCTACTAGTTATAAGACCTGTCTTTCAAATTCTTCACGCTTAGGTAACACTTTTATTTTTTCAGCTCTTCGTTTTCAATAGCAGCTGGCATTCAAGAGGTAAAAGAAACACTCAGATTTTTCAAGTGACCACGATCATAAAGTAAATACGCTTTGATTTCCTACACTAAAAATCACGCATTGCAGCTTTAATGTCAATCAAGCCATTCACCTTGTTGATTAATTAAATCCGTTAGACCTGTGTATATCGAAGTTGTTACTGGCACCCATAATTCAAAAACGAACATTTTTGAAGTGGAGAGTGACAAGGATGGTCGTAATTTAAGGCAAAAGTCTTTGAATTGCGTAAGTAACTGCAGTCTATGCTTGAGATTATGTCATATAGATATTTTAGCATGAAGATTACCTGATATCTATCTAAGTCATATAATTGCCTCCTATTGTCGAATAAATACCAGGGGGTTCGGTAATCACATCTCCGAAAAGTACTTGTTAATTAAAATGTAGCTGCTTTTGAAAGAATTTTTGACAAACTGTATAAAAGCTACTTCTTCATTTTCTGGTGATTATTCATCAAAGAGGACGTGAGGAAGATTCTTAGCAATTCACAACTCTCGTGAAAGAGCTGAAAGATTCCAACATAGCTTCAAACTTGTTTAGCGAAGGTTGGTAAACCATTTTATAGATCACCATTTTATAGATTATTTTCTTTAGAATGCAAAATAACTGAGAATTTGAACTTGAGCGATTGTCGATAGCTTTTGGTTTGACTCACCATATTTGCCATCAGGAAGCGCTCCAATGTTACTTTAAGGAAAACAAGTTCAAAAATGCTTTAAAGCAAATGAACCCTGCAAAGAAAAAAGGAGCGTAGTGAAATTCATTCGAAATTTTTAACACTATCTAGGGAATTCATAGTGAATAAGCCCGTAAAAAGAGAAGTTTTTTATGGTACGCACTTGCGTAAAAGGAACCTGGTTCGAGGCCTAGTTCCTCAAGTTCTTAATTTTTGGATTTCTTTTGATCGCAATGTAATACTGAAGGTTTTTGATAGTCTCTTCATTTCAACTACACATTTAGCGTCCTGAAAGTATTGACTGCAAATGATTGGAAACGGCTTCCTAATTATCGACTGTTTGAAACGATAGAATATTGAAAATTGAAAAGTTGGCTAAAAAGATTTTGCCTTATGTAGTATAAGTGCCTTAAACGTTTCCATCGATCTCGGCCGTATACGTGTAGGTTCTTTTTAGAGTGGTTCCTTAAATAAGCGTATCAACAAAGACGTGCGAATTGGGAAGTCTATTGAGCGAAAGACAAGTATACTTGTAAGCTTGTATGGGGGCTGAGAATTGTTACCTCGTTGCTTTCACAATAATTGTGTTTCGACTCCATTTTCAGAAAAAGGTACAGTAACTCCAGTTTTCTCTTTATTACAGGTGACAACATTTTTATTCGTGATGACGTTGCAGGCAATAATTTACTATTACATCAGTCCAACAGTTGCTGCGTTGACAGTGATTTTCAACTTAATTGAAATCATTTTCCTTGTCAAGCAGTACAAGAGGAACATGTCAGCTAGAATACAGAGGCATGCCATACCGATTATATTATTCGGAAATCTTGCTTTCTCCGACCTACTGGTGGGAGTCACCGTAATTGCAATCAAAGTAATGGACGTCCTCTTCCGCGACAAAGTGATTCCGGTAACACGGACAAATGTTAATGTGTACTACATATTCAAGTTTAATATTTTGAGACTTTCTTTGCTTACATCCTTTTTCAACTTAATCTTACTTACTGTGGACAGATTTCTTGCAGTGCGCTTTCCTCTTGCCTACCGAACCCGGGCTGACAATAAACGTGCTTTTGTCCTTGTTTTGATCACGTGGGTCTTGTCAGTAGCATTCACCTCAATACACTACTACATGTCTTTCCATGCTGGAATCAACCTTGTCAAGTACGATCTGGTTATCTTTCCAGCTGTTGTGATCCCAGCCACATTTGCATTTCCGGTCTGCAACTTCATGATTGTGAAGGCCGTACGCAAGCACGGGGAAGGATTGCGGCAGATGACAAATAACACTGCATGCGTCTCAAACAGTAGAAGCACCAATAACACCAAAATGACAAACAGCAGAAGAAATTCCAGTCAAAGTATCAACAGAGCCACGTTGCATATCATAAAACGAGAAGCAAAGATTTATCGTCTTGCCTTGACAGTTGTTATTGCATTCATAGTATGCTGGCTGCCAATGGCGATTTGTGGCCTTCTCCTGATTGCAAAAATACCTGTTGACGGCCATGTGGTAAATATAGTGTTTACACTTGCGTTCACTAATTCGCTCATAGATCCTCTTGCATACTTTGGTTTCAAAGACAATATAAGAAGAAAGATAAAGATGCTGTTCCACACTTGTTCAAGCTCATGCTTCTTACCAGAACAAGGTGGGACCAGAAGCGACGTTCACCTCTTCAGCATTACGTCTTCCCAAGACAGTCATCTTAGTCAACAGATGGGTCAGTCAACTTGTCTTTCAACTGAAACTATGTTTTAAGCAATTGACTAAGCCTTTTTAGAGCTGAGAAACATTTGCAAATGGCCAAGTTATAATAAGATGGTCACTTTTGCCGCAAGATAATGACAGATTGTACATTCTGACAATGTATTATGCAATTGAAACTTTAGTGGCTACTACAGCATAGAACTGTAAATAGGACAGTTTGATTCGCTGAAAAAGATAGGAAATCGATCCCGACTGAAAATTGCTCCCTTGGGCTATTTTTAGAATAGCGTACTTTACGGCGAGGCTCCACAAACGACGTTATTTTGATTGTCCACTAACGAGTACCGAACGCCAACTGCTTCCGTGTTTGCAAACTTTGTGACGTCACGGATAACGCACGCTTTGTCACAGTCGAAACCGTGAAAATTCGATATTCAACCTAAATTTTAAGATGGTTCCGCAAGAAAAAAATCAACTCAGCATATATCATTCAAATCAGCAAATTTTGCTTATAAACAGTGTGCCTTTATGTAAACTTGTCAAATTTCATTTCATAGGTACTTTAGCCGTTGTTTGAGCTGTTGATACCGTTAAAGTTACAAAATGTAATGTTTAAACAAGAAGAATGCTGCTAAGCCTCATAATACGGTGATAAATGAGGATTCGAGATTTGTTTTGCTAAGAGACAGTTTTTCTTCAAAACAAGTTAAATTCTAATAGTCACGTTTATCAACTCTGTGTGAAAGCATTTTTTGCTTTAGTGCATGGATGCGGACAAAATCATACTTTTCATGAGATCTTTCGATGAGAATTCATGAGATTTAACGTTTTAACTATTTTCCTGTAACTTTGATGTTTCATGACAGAAGCACAAATAATTGAATAAAAAAGCAAATGAAATGGCTTTGTGAATCATTAATTGCAAATTTACGACGCAAAAGACGCAAAATCCTCCCTTGACGAATTTATAGCCAAAGATAAACCAGTTTAAGTTCACCAGAAAATGAATTGACTTTTATTGCAAACCTTGGTCAAATTCAAACTAATATGTATTTGATGTTAGAATTGTAAATTAGGTCTAGTATGTACGTATCTTGTATCTCTGCTATTAAAGTAACTAACTTTAGATTAATAAACTATATTATCATGTTTGAAAATGGCTTTGAAAAAAGCAAACATTTTACAACATACAATATACTAAGATAAATTTTTCTTTAGGCTCGCGGCACTGATTGGTCAACTATACCGGTCTTGTGCATGCGTTTTTCTGATTGGCCTATTTCGATCCACAACTGGGTATATATTTTTCATCGTGTTCTTTCGGACCCTTATTCTGACGTTTTATGCTCTGAGGAGTGTCAGACGAAAAAGCTTTTTGTATGTTGTAAAATGTTTGCTTTTTTCAAAGCCATATTACTGTACCGCAAACAAATTATCATGTTTGCTTTTTTTAAAGCCATATTTTTATTATGAAATATTATTATGTTCTATTCATCACACGGTATTCAAATTGCAATTAATCTTTCACATTTATTTTCCTTCTAACTAGTGAATTTGTTTGCCATAGGATTCTGCGTAGTTTAACCCAGCATTAGCCCCAGTTCCCTTATATCTTTTTTATTCACTTTATTTAATGTTGTTTTACAAAATAATAGCTAAAAAAGAGCTAATCAACACCAACTTGTAACAATATCAAATGTAAGAAAAATCGTTATGTCTACAAGTATCCAATATTATGATACAATACAAAGTAAGATCCGTTTGTTTAATTTTAGTTTTGAATACTTTAAAATTTTCTGTCGATCGAATATCTAACGGTATAGAATTCCACAGTTCATTACATCTATAGGATATTGTACCTAGCCCATAAGTAACAGTGTTCAGCATTTTTGTATAAACGATTGATTTCGTAAATTATATGCAAGTTCATTCAGCCGAAATGGGCTCAGCCTCTTTGCTAAAATCCACGAAATTTTTACTTAACAATGTGAACTACCTGAATTGTTGAAGTGATTCCAAATACACAACCGAAAATCATTAATACAAATACAAGCATATTGGGGTGACAATCGGTGTTGTATTGGTTGTGGCTTCTAGAGTTTGCTTAAAGCACAACCTCCCTCTTAACTGTTCAAGACAGCATCCCTGTTCAAGTAATGATTGGGAAACCAACCAGAGTTTGCCCAATATAAAACCAACTGATGCTAATTCTTTGCAGAGATAATCCCATTTCTGGTCCCTTGGAAGAATTATTCTGCTTTAACAAAGATTTAAAAGAAGTTCAAATGTGTAGAAAAAGACTAGATATTACAACTCGAATGAAGAAGAAATCATTATCAAGATACATTTGGCGTGTTAACTGTTTTGTTTTCGTATTATCTTTGCAAAACCAACAAGATGTCAGGCTTTTGCAAAACCTGAACATGTTGTTACTACATCTTTCAGATGTTTTGACTAACAAATATATTCAACTTTTTTCTAGAACTTGAAAGGCCAGTGTTGTTTTTTGTTACTGTACTACAACATTTTTGCTAGGCCTTTGAAGTACACGATTTTGTGTATAGATGCAGAACAATTTGCAACCTTTTTGACCGTTCACTAAAAAACAATAAAGCAAAAATGTAAAGGACATTTTTCATGTTAACCTTTGCTTAAATTCTTAATTCTGTTTAGATGCTTTAACTAGAACTGCCAGGTCAGGCGAGAGGGACAGGAAGCAGGGACAAATTGATTGCCCTAAACTGAGAGGGGCAACTTTTATGGAGCTTGAAATTTTCAGTTTTCTCCCACGCTAGTTATAACTTCAATTTAGTTTTCTGATATTTGAACTTCATTCACGATATGTTGAAATTTCATTTACAATGTTTTTGATGAAAGTTTTGCATATTTGATCATGAATGACAGATCCATAGAAATAACAGCTGTTACAACAAAAGCACACTTTTCCAATGACGTCATCGTGGACATTATGTCCCAGGCTCCAGAAGTCTTAGCTGATTGTATGTATGTTGCATTTGGGTGAAGTTCTGCGTTTCAGCTTCAGATTTCATATTAAAATCCATTATATCCAATTAGCAGTGATATCTTTGACTAAGTAATTGAAAATTGTTTTAAGGAACAATCAACGGAAGATAAAATAATTATTCTCTTTTGAGAGCAATTTGGGATTTACATTCGGGCTGTTTTCGTATCTAGCAGCTTGCGGTTTTCAGTAAAAAATGCTAGTATTTTAAGCTTGTTTGAAAAATAGCAGCAATTTGTGTCTGTTTGGATTTAGAATTGGGCTCGATGGATTTCGTTGCTAATGTTGCCAAATCTTCCGGTACCTAAAAATGAGATATCGATTTGCTGACATTATTCTTCAATTTTAGATGTAAGTATAAATACAAAGTAGGAGAAACTGGTGCCATAATTCGACAAAGCGCCTGTGAGTTAGTTGCTCGTTCTTGGGTTGGATGCTTTTTTGCGTAAGTAGCTAAATTCCAATTCATTTTTTGTTGGCATTCTATCAGCTCAAAGTATATCTGTTGAATACATGGGGTATGCAACGTATACGGATAATTTTGTTTGCCTCTTCCCAGTAGACAGAGGCAAAAAAGAAGCATAAATTTCAGGTGTTAGAAGGATGTAACAAAAATAAATGCCATGCCTAGCTTATTTGCTACAATTTTAAACTAGGGTTGAGCCAAGGACTAAGTTCACTCCATATCAGTGCTAACATTATTAAAAGCATACAGCATAAGAAATTGTTTTGGTTAGTGGTTTGAGTAATGCCTTTTAGATGGAAAGCATCACTACAGAATTAAGTGTAGCAGCACTACAGAAACGAGGTGTTAATACTTTCGTACACTTCTACTTATGCATCACATAAACCGTTATGGAAATGTTTCAAAGAACTGTAAACAGTTTTCAGTTAAAAGGGCGACAATCTTTTTGCAGGAGTTATACTACATGACTATGGATATGTACATTTAGATTTTTCTGAACTAACTAACATTTAGTTAGTTATACGGTTTAAAAAGATGTCATATAGAGAAATGTCATTCCATAATTAGGAGTAGAAATACCATCCAGTTTAAAAACTCCAGTCAATATGGCTTGAGGTTACAGTGATGAGTACCCTGGGTACTAGAGCCACTTAAATTCGAAAGAGGAAAAAGAAGATAGGGGCATAGACGCTCCTCCTCTTCTCTGCTTAGCATTCTGTTTACGCGCTCGAAATTCTGTGGCTCCGGTACCCAGGTTGCAGTGACAAGCAGAGTGCTTCTGAAGATTGGGATGCAAGTCAACGAACAAGCCTTGCAAGATTGTTTACCAATTTCTTACGATTTGAAATTGTGTTTCTTGTATTTACAACATTTGGTAACATATCAATTATTTTGATGTATCTAATCATATCTTGCCGAAAAGTAATTAACTCTTTCTTGTAGGCATTAAAATCCATCAAGATATTGATGGCAAGACAAGTATACTTCATCGTAAAGCCAATAATTGCTTCCTTGATAGTGGTCCTCAACGTCATTGAAATTGGACTGCTTGTCAAACATTTCAAAAGACATAAAGCAACCACCGTATGCAGACATGCTATCCCTATCATATTAATGGCAGATCTTGCCCTATCTGATCTCCTGGTTGGAGTTGCATTCGTTATTGATATATGCATCAATGAACTCATTCGGAAAAAGATTATTTCCATTAATAGGACGAATCTACAGATTTTGGTTCTATTCCGGGTAGTGAGTCTCGATCTATCAATGTTTGCATCCTGCTTCAAAACTATCTTGCTAACCTTGGATAGGCTATTTGCAGTTCGGTTTCCTCTAGCCTACCGATCACGAGCCAGAAACAAACATGCATTTGTCCTTGCTTTGATCACGTGGGTGTTGTCAGCAGCACTGATTTTTGTCCCGCTTCCCATCATATTATTTAATAATAGCATTGATTCTTTTTGGTACCACATTATATCTATTGCAACTACTGTGCTAGTGGCAACTTTTACGCTTCTAGTTTGCAATGTAATGATAGTGAAATCTGTGCGCAAACAGGGACGAGGGTTGAGAGGTATTGCAAATAATTCTGGCTGCTACAGCCGCAAAAGAAAAAGTCACGTCAACATGACACCGACCCAGAGTAGCAGTGACAAGGTTGGCTTTGAGCATACCACAGTGATTGTTAGGAATTCGGACAACTCGATCAGACCCTTGCATATTGTGAAAAGAGAGCTCAAAGTTTTTCGGCTTCCACTGACTCTTGTTATTGCATTTATTGTTTGTTGGTTGCCCATAGCGCTTTATAACCTCATTTTTGCAATAGATAAAGGCTTTAATTTCAATGTAAGGAGAACAGTGTTTCTCTTCGCTATTTCAAACTCTGCGATAAATCCTCTGATCTACCTTTGCATCGGAGCAAAGAAAAGTCTTCTTTTTTGCATTTGTAAAAATCATTGCTTCTTATCAGGACGGAAACGGCCAGTCAATGACGAAAAACCCTGTTCTTCTAAAGCCAGCGATGCTACTTAGAGCTGCCAAGTTGGATAGGCGAGTGACCTTTCAAATTATATCATCTTGCCAGTAGACAAAGACAATCAAGTTTGGCTGATGATACAGGCACGCACTGATTTCTGATTGTGTATGTTAGATAATTTCAAATCACATGCTTTGTAGAAATTCGTTTTGTAGATATTATTTTGCGCATAATGTACATGTTTCAACTTAGACTAAAGAGCGTGACCATTATTTTCACCCAGTGCTACTGGCTACAGTAACTTTGATCTATATTGGCATCTCACCAGCCTAACCTTTTCTATATGCTTTATTGCTCTTCAACCATTGCGTAAGAACTTTTCTAGTTCTTAAACACAGTTTATAAGATATGCAGCTAAGCAGTTCAAAGCACAACACAAATACAAATAAAGAAGACCACAAACAACAAATTTTGGTAGATTTTGCATAGGCAGTGCTTCTATGACATTGCACTTTGCTTCGTTGTAATCTAGGACAGGCAGCCTTGACTGTGCTTTACATATGTATTACATTATCATATTTACAGACAGAGTTCACAACGTTACGGTTAAACCTTGGGGTCAATTTTAATATATCTATCTGCAATGCTGTTGCTGAAAGACTGATCTCTTTTTTCAATCGCCCCCCCCCCCCTCCCTTCAAAACCTTCAGCCTCCAAATCTTACCCAATTATATTGCAAATCCATTGGAAAAGAAACAGAAAATGATCCTTTTGGTAGCATGGTTGTGGTATATTGACAGAATAAGAAGTCTATCAAAGTTAAAAATTTTCCTGGCCAAAGTCTAAAACCCGTCTTCTTATTCTAAAAAGAATTTGATACAAATTTTGTTGTCCTGGTCTATAAATTGTGGGCTAAGAATTTTGTATTTACCGTTGTTGTTCTCGTATTTTAAACATCGTGTCGTGGTAGCCGTACCAATTACTAATTAGAATGTACTTTGAACATTTTAACAGACAAAAGGTGACAGACAATCAAAAATAATTTCGCCTATATTTGGAAATCTTTTTTGTTCGGTAGATTAATAATGTCCGTTACTAGCCCCCGTTACAGGGTCATTGCACATGCGCATTATGACTCGAAGCCCTGGTGGAAATTTCAAGAGTTGTGTGGTCCCAGACAGAATAGCTATGCGAATACTGTTATAATGCGCATGTGTCATGACCCTGCAACACTGATTGGTTTAAGACGGTATTATTTCGAAACAAAGGACTGAATGTTTCGTCTCCCAAACAATTTTCTCCACCTTTTTATCAAAAGCTTTCTATAATCTTGTCATGAAATAATTTGTACATGATAAATAACCTCGTTTTGATTATAGTTAATTATTTTGTAACCAGGGTAACCTGTCAAGGGGTTTGACGAGCACTATCGTAATGAGTAGTGAGAGATCTAGTAATGTACAATCTGATGATATGAAACTGTGATTGGAAAAGCTCCGTTGTGATTACTTTGTGATTACCTCCATTATTTTCGCCACAGATCTTGCTATAATCTTCTTCGATTCAAAATTTGACTGTGTTAAGAAGGGTTGTTGTAACTAAGTTGACTTGTGATTCCTTAAATTGTCCTAGTTGAAATGCGTCATCCTATTCATAAAAAAGGGCGGGTTGCAAAAAATTGTTCCTCTTGATTCCCAGTCCTCCCCATTTTTTGGGAGTAAGCGCCGCCTCTGAACGGATTCAGTTTTCCTTCTTAAACTTTGGTTGAAAACTACTCAGAATGGCCTAAATACTTTACTTGTATAGTTGTTCCGAATCCTTTTACATTTGATGACAGTGTTTTGCAAACTCCCACTTTATAGCTTCTATGAGGACACCGGGCCAAATCTGCCAAAAAAATGTATGCAGCGAAAGAGCCTCAAGCGAAGCTTAAACGTGTTACGAAGAAAATTTTAATGATGCTTTTCTCATTTCAAATTAAATGCAAACAATTTTTTTTCATTTATACAGAGCTGAAGTATTCAGACAGTAACGATTTTATTATGAAAAAAACAAGCTTTGGCTCCTGCTGAATACTTTTAAAAAGATTTCAAAATAGCTGTTTGCTTCTATCGTAGGGGGCACGGGGGCACAAGACCCCTGTTTGCAAAAAGTGTAAACAAGTGCCCCTTTTTGGAAAATATATTGTGTGTTTTATTCACTGCCAGATATTCTGCCTTTTGAAGCTAAGTAAAATGAAATAAAATTTGCGTTGTTGGAGGACTATTCACTGAAATTTCCTTGAAGTTTTACTTGGCCCTGATGCAAAAAGCGCAAGCTCCTGTGATAACAATATCAATAGCAAAGGAGACTGTCTTCAACAACAAACGAATTAGTGAAATGTCCGCGTCAAGTCTAAGGAGAGTTAAAAACTTGTTGTGTGCATAAGACTGAGAAGATAATCCTAATAAACATTGCAAATAAATTTTGCTTTGGCAATGAAGAACGTGCTCGTACCTTCAGCCGATTGCTTGAAGATTACTTGAACTTGAAATTTTGTAGCTTTTAGAAAATGTTTTATAGAGGCAAAAATATTTATGTTTCAAGTTTCAAGTTTCTAGTTTCAAGTGGCGATGGAAAGGGGCGAATACCAAGGAGGACTAAATTTCTTAAATGCAAATGTAAGGAAATTAAATTCATTATTTTAATGGGCTTTAGATAATCATAGAGACTGAAACTTTGCTTTAAAAGAGAAATGGAATTCGCTTTGAAGTAAAAAGGGACTAAAAAATCGAAAATTCCTTTCAGCTCATATATTGGGCTGAATTCGTTGGTATGTTGCAATAAATCAATCAAACATTTGTTGAGTATAATGCGCCTGTCACAAGTATCGAAGAAGACTATGTGCTAGCTTCTTACCAAGGACCCAATCCACTTACAATGCATATTATAAGAAGAATAGGTATAGCGTATTGTAATAGAGATACAGATCATACATGAAGTAATAATTATAATCTTTACTATCAAAAAACTTTGAAGGCCATGAGATGAGACGCTTAAAACTTAAGTATTCTACTTTCAGGGAAGACAGTTCTCACTATGCGCAATGTGGGTGTCATTAATTTTATAAGTGTCTAAATTATATACATACTCAGGGGCGGATCCAGTGGGGTGCGAAGGGGGCTCGAGCACCCCTCAGATTTGAGAACAAACTTTTTGAGGATTAAAGCTTATTCTACCGCAATTTTGTTTATTATTATTTAAACCATTTAAATAATACCGGGAAGTATGCACATCTCCTGAAATTGTTATTTCCGCTTCAATGCCCCGTCTCACAACTGTTCAACATTGTTATTTCAGTCCATGCATTGAAGTGTTATGAAACTCCCCCTGGTTGTCCTGTATAGCATTCTACAGACTCGGAAAGCATTGTCTCCTCTTATATCCAGCCATTTAAGGAACCCGTGGCCTGTAAATTATACGAGTTTCTGCACCCGTGGAAGTGAATCTAGCCAATCACGGTGCCAGGTCGAGGGGTTCTAAACTTTGGCGCGAGAACCCATGGATTTCAAAAATCCAAAACATCAAAGAATACCGACAAACCAGGGGGAGTTTCTCCGCTTCAATCTACAGTCAAATGTATAAGTGGTTTTATGACCAGGGGGAGTTGAGGTTGACCAGGGGGAGTTGAGGTTGACCAGGGGGAGTTGAATTATGATACAGCACGCGACGAATGCTTAGGCGCAAATTTGCAATATGTTTTCGTGGATCTTTTGACGATCTTTACCTGATGCTCGATGCTGGAACGGCAGAACTTGTAAACGCTGTGGTTTATATAACAGAACGGTTTCAAGTTTCAACTCCGTGTTTCACGTCTTATTCATAGACCATGAGGTATGATTTATATTCAGAGGATAAAGCTTGCCCGAGCCCCGAGCCCTTGTTATTCTTTTTTTAATAATTCAAGAACTACATAAAAAACATCTCAAAAACTTGCCCTTACTATTATTGACCAAAAGGGGTTTCCTTTTTATACCTACTTATATTCCTGCGAATACTTTTTTCTCTAAGAATTTCAAATACATAAAAATACTCAAAACGCCAGGCCCATAGCGAAACATTCAGGGCCTTCTTTGTTTGGTTCGGCGTCATATGTCGATGCATGCTGTGTTTGAATCCCTGTGTTCAACTTTTGCACTGCACTTCAAGGGCTTCATTCCACCAGCCACGTTATTTTTTTGGTCAAGCTGATCAAGTTCTAATAAATGGCTGCAAAGAGTCAAAAATTAAATTTT